GACCAGTGCTGTTTAATATCTTCATAGGTGATCTGGATGATGGGATCAAGCGTACCCTGATGAAGTTTGCCAATGATACCAAATCGAGGGAAGCGGACGCTTTGGAAAGGAGAGCTACCCTGCAGGAAGACCTGGATAGACTGGAAGAGGGGGCTAACAGCAACAAGGGCAAGTGTAAGGTCTTGCACCTGGGAAAACACAATCCGGGAGAGCAGCACAGTCTGGGATCTACTCATCTGGGGAGCAGTTTTGTGGAAAGGCACCTGGGGTCCTGGTGGGCAACAAGCTCAATATGAGTGAACAGTGTGCTACAGCAGCAAAGAAAGCCAAAAGGATGCTGTGCTGCAGCAACAAGGGCATCACTAGCAGAGATAAAGGAGTCATTATCCCACTCTACTCAGGCCATACCTGGAATACTGTGTTCAGTTTTGGCCTCTGCTATACAAAAAAAGATGTGGATGGGCTGGAGAGGGTCCAGAGAAGGACCACAGGATGTTCAAAGGACTGGGAAGCCTGGCATATTGAGAAAAGGGTGGAAGAATCAGGTCTGTTCAGCCTTGAGAAGACTTAGGGGAGACCTTATCACCATGTTACAGTATTTAAAGGGTGGCTACAAAGAAGATGAAGACTCCCATTTTACAAGGAGTCACATGGAAAAGACAAGGGGCAATGAGTGCAATTTACTCCTGGGGAGATTCCAATTGGACACAAGATGGAAAATTTTCACAATGAGAACAATCAGCCACTGGAATAATCCCCCCAGGGAAGTGGTGGATTCCCCAACATTGGACACTTTCAAGATTCATCTGGACAGGGTGCTGGGCCATCTTGTCTAGATCTTGTTTTTTCCAAGAGAGGTTGGACCAGATGACCTTTGAGATCTCTTCCAACCTGGTCTTCTATGTTTCTATGGCTATAATCCCAGGAAGAAAGTCACTCAGACTGTGCAAAGTATCATTTAAAGTGCTATTTATTAGTGCTAACACTGTCAAGGAAGAGAGAATAGTACAGATAATCTGACGTGCCTTCAGATGCCAGAAATTCCAAGTTGTGCAGCATCAAACAGACATCTGATCTGGGCACAACACACTGTGCAGATCCTGTCCATGAAAGGTTTACCTTGTTTTGGTAATTTGAACTATTATATGATTTTCTCAGAAGAAAACAAACTCCATGCAGCATTACTACTATTCAACAGAAAGAATATTCACATGAGAGCTTCTTGATGCACTTTTAGGTAAAGGCAAGAACTCGTAGGTGACATAATTGCCAGTAGCAAGTGAGAGCTGCCTACATGCTCTCTGTTAAAGCTGGCTACGTTTGTTCTGCAGCTAAGAGACATTCACAGCACAACACAGGCCTGAAGGCTAAGCTGTATGTGCAGCACAGCACAGCATAGGCTTGAGCCTACTCAGGTTAACCATCATGTGGAACACATTCTTCCATGTACAAGAATCGGAATTATTACATTGAGATATGTGATGCTATCTCCAGTCTGCATTATGTGAATGAATTTGCAACATACTTGACAAAAGAAACCAGTTTACAGGGATTATTTTACACTAAATATAACCCAACCCAATTAAATTCAGCTGCTCACAGTGTTTCATAAAATGAGCTCTTTGCCCATAGATGGCAGTATTTGCTGTTCTTTTGCAATACTAGGGTATTTATATTGACTGTATTTGTTCCATCACAGAAGATTCAGTTGTTCAGTAAGGCCATAAACTCCAAGAGAAAACTTACTGACTCATCTCTCAGATCTTCTAAGAAAATTAGAAGGAATCCTGATTATATTAGTAAAAGTCATAAAAATACAAGTTGGTACTTTAAAAAGTCAGTTATTCAAACAGGACAATGTTCTTGTAGCAAATAGCACCCATTTTATGGGATGTGTAGTTATTTTAAGATATCTTGCAATTGCAGATGGGGTACTGGAATACACAGATCCATCAGCATAAAGTGGTCTTGAGTTCACGGAACTTAGTGAAGATGTTAAAGGAAAGAATGGCAACATTGGTTTCCCCCTACTCACATGATTTTGTACCTTAGTAGCTATAAGATGGTTGTTCTTGCTATACTTGCTTTTAAATTGAGATAAAATGGTAGATGTAAAAAACTTAGCAGCAGTCTCAATGGCAGTAAAACAGTCACTTCCCGAGAGTAAGATGATGAGATGTGCTGTTCTGTGGGCAGAGCTACTGTGAACACAGAGTATCACTAACAAGTTTTTGTGCTTAAATATGAATCTGAGGACTAGCAGATATTTACTTGTTTTGAGTGCTTTTTTGTGGCAGGAACTGCCTCTGACAAATGTGTCCTTTTTGTTTGCATTTGTACTGCAGTTTGTCCTGATTGGTCACTAGGCAGTAGATGATTTAGAAATACAAGTAGTGATCTCATTGCCACTTCTGAAGTAAGAGTGTGACCACAGGCACAGACTGAGGTTTTGTACCATAATACATCTCTTGCATGTTAGGATGTATACAAGTTCCAGTCAGACCACTTTATAAGCTAAATAATATCTCATCAGAAATGGGCCAGAGCGGTATGATCCTGTATTCTGACTGAGGAAAGGCACTTTCATGTGTAAGTGCAGAATCAGAATTTATATCATCTTAGTTCCCAAGTTTCCAAAAACTCTGTAGACCTTGGACAAATCAACAACCCCTGCCTCACTTCCCTGTGATCAAAATGGGACAGCAGATCTTCCTTTCTTTCCAGTTTAGCCTAACTTGTCAAGTAGTATGAGCTCTTTAAGGGGTGGGTTATCTCTTGTCCCAAATGGATGTGTATCAATGAGCTTTGATCTCCATGGGAGTTTTGCATGAATAAAGAACACAGAAGTGGGACTCTCATTTGTGCTATGTATGGGGGAAAATGGTTTATGAGCTGCTGGATGTAGCCAGATTCCCCTATAATTAAATGCTTCTTAACAGTTGTCCTGGGTTTGAGTGAGTAGTGGGAGTTTTTGGTAGCAGGGTAGGGGGCTACAGTGGTGGCCCCTGTGAGAAGCTTCTCGAAGCTCCCCTCACTCCAAGTCAGACCCACCTCTGTGCCAAGGCCGAGTCAATTAGTAATGATGGCTGTGCCTCTGCGATAATGTATTTAAGAAGGGGAACCTGGGAGGAGGATTTGGAGTTGTGAGGAAGAGTTGCAAGAAGAAGGTTAGTGAAAGAAAGGAGGGGTGGGGCGGGGGGGAGAGTGTGCCAGTGCAGAGCCCCTCCCTGCAGCCTGTGGTGAGACAGCAGGGCCAGTCCCCTGCCATCTGTGGAGGTCCACAGTGGAGCAGATGCCCACCTGCAACCTATGGAGGACCCCACACTGGAGCAGGTGACCGCGCCTGAAGGAGGCCAGGACTGTGAGAAGAAGAAGCCCCTGCTGTTGTAGTTCAGCTCTGGGAGGATTGCAACATGCAGGAGTGAGCTGTGCTGGAGCAGCTAGGGAAAGGCTGCAGCCCATGGGACGGACCCATGTTGGAGAAAGCTTGTGGAGGACTGTCTCCTGTGAGAGGAGAACTGGACTGAAGCAGGGAAGGAATGCCAGAAGTCCTTCCCCCGAGATGGAAGGAGGGGTAGGACTGACTGTACACCCCACCCCCTGTTCCCTGCCCCCTCCACCACTGAGGGGTAGGAGGTAGATAAATCGGGAGTAAAAGTGAGCCCAGGAAGACGGGAGGGGCAGGGGGAAGGTGTTTTTAAGATGTGGTAATGCTTCCCACTGACCTACTCTGTCAAATGGTGGTATTGTTAGTGTCTGTATCAATTTTATTTTTATTTTTTGCTTCCCCTAATGAGTATGTCTTTTGCCTGTGACCACAATAAGTGAGTGATCCCTCTTTGTCCTTTTCTCTATTCCTGAGCCTTTTGCTTTATTTTCTCCTTCTCAGCGCTGGGGGAGGGGAAGTAGGCAATAAGCAGCTTTGTGGTGCTCAGTTGTCCTGTGAGCTCAAACCATGACAACAGTCTTCTAACTGTTCTCAGTTTATCTATACTTTGAGCTTAGTGGGCCCATCTATAAAGGAGATGAGTGTACCCCAGTAGTACAGTGTGAGAGAAGAAACCTGTGGGGTGCAGAGAATCCTACTGAAGTGGTTTGGCTTATTCAGGAAGTCTGCAGTAGAGCTGGAAGTTGAATCTGAACCTACCTTTAAAGAGGAAGCTGAGAGCAGACGGTTCCTTAGCATCTCTGAGAGAGCATATACAGCAGCCACATGTGCTGAGTACTTTCTGGTGATGACTCATTCTTTATGACTTCAAACATAGTGTCTATTGTAGGAAGAAGCCGTATCTATTATTTCAGTCCTTCCCTTCTCAAAATTTATCTGCTGTCTAGGCTGACTGTCAGCAGTGGAGATCATGAGCAGTACTAGTACCAATGTGACCATCCTTTAGCTTCAAACATGCACAGAACCCATGCAAGTTTTTAGTTTTCTTTAAAAGTTTTCAGACTGTGGATTGAGACACTTGCTCTGTAGAGCCACTCTGGGACCATGACAGATGGAGGGCCTTTCCCCCAGTGTGTGGTAAATTGCATCTATCTGGCTCTGCTCAAAGTTGGTTTGAGAGGCTCAGAGATTTTTTGTGGGTGAAAGTTTCTTTGTTATATAACAGATTACAAGACATCTGGAATGACAGTTCTGTGTTATCTTACTCTGCTAGCAGCCTTAGAGGACTAGAAATGTGTAAAAGTGTATGTCTCATCCAAAACAAAGTTCATTCTGAGTGAGAATATCATTATGGTGATCATAACCATACTATCTGTTAAAAGCATTTAATTATTACATTCCTAAAGGAGAAGAACATGGGATATGGCAGTGTGTCTCAGAGTAATACCTTCTTTAGGGGAATGTACAAAACGTGCCATCCTCAGCCTTTAGAGGAAATTTAAATATAAGCCTCAATTAATAAAAGATTATTTTCCCTAGAGCTCTTACTGGTTAGTAGTTAAGTATGACAGCTGCTTTTTCATAAAAAGAAAGGGAAATAAAATGCAGTATATTCAGAAATCTTTTTAATAATCCTGTAAAAAGGGAAAAACTGTCAAACAGCAAACACTTCTGTCAAACAGATGCAAAGCTGATGCACAAATGTGGAGGAACAAATAATGCCATGAAGGTTGTCTTCTAAATCCAGAATGCTTGTTCTAAACCACAGAAAAAATACCTTTTCATAAAGTTCAGGAATATTTTCACTGAGAAACTTTTTAAAGTTCTTGTAGTACAAAAGTGAATTGTGCATTCATGTGTGGTGTAGTGCATTCATTGCATAGTAGTATGTCTGCAGTAATTAAAATCAAAGTGAAAGACCAAATACCAAATGAAGGTAATAAAGTTATAAACAAAAATTTGGCTGATGACACTTGACAAAACTGCAAATAGTTCATTATATGCAACATAAATATAGGAAATGTAGAATGTATGGATAGTAATGCTTCTGGGAAGGCTCAAATTCAGTGAATTTAAGACAAAACATTTAAATCTGTTTATATTTATACCAGTGTAAGTCCACAATTGCTCCACTAATTTAGTGTTACTCTGTATCTCTATCAGTATCTTTGAAATTATTGTCTGGCTCACATCATAAATTTTATTTCTATCTTTTCCCAACTTCCAGCAGACTATCTGAGGGCAGAAAGAAAAAATAGCCCTTGGCCTTAATTATAGTTGTATTACACTGGCTTTTTCTAAAAGTCATACTTTTAATTTGTTTTAATCCCTCTTTCTTTCTGAATCATAAATCTCTCATTCATAGTGAAAATAAATGGCTATTTTGTCTTGTTTCTACTGCATTTTTATATTCAAATGCCTCAATATTTTCTCCTTTCCTGAAATCAAAGAAGTTTTTTAAATATATACAATTCAGTTAAAGAAATGCTGTTATAATTTCCTATGTTTAAAAGTTACTTTTCCAATGTACATCTAATAACTTCACTTCCATATACATCATCTTCTAGATAAAGGACTTAGAAGTAGTACTATAGAAACAAGTGAAATCTTATAAACTTGAACAGCCGATTTCTTCTCAAATCCACTCAAATTCACACTAACAGAAACACTTTTTACACAAGAAATAAACTGTACAGAGATTTATTTACTCTAATTTAAATATCTGATTCAGCTCCCACTGAAACCAGTGGGACTTCCCATAGATTGGTTCAGATCCTAGATAAGAATGACAAGATATTTAATTGATGGTAAGGAGCATGGGAAGATGAAATGTATATATGTGCCACAGTGGACACAGAGTCATTTCATCTGGCTTAGTATTGCATTCCTTTTTACATGGATCCAGAATGAAAGAGTACTGATGCTATTTACAGCTGTCCATATTGCTGAGAAAAAGTAATAATCAAACCAATTATTAGAATGCTTTTCCTGCTTTGAAGAGAACCAAATGGAGTTTAAAGGCATCCTATGTTTCTTTCAGTTTCTTGATTTAAGATGTCTAGTGATGCTGGTATAAATTCCTGGGCTGGGGTGATGACTGGAAATGGTTCTACAATGTTCAAGCAACCAAAGGTAAACAAATTGAGTCTTTCCACACAAAAGCATAACTACTGTAGAAAATACTGATTTGCAGTCCAGAAGCCACAACAATAAGGGACAAGTAATCTTCCACCAACACCAGCAGAATCTTAAATCTTTATAGTTGCCCTCTGGAAAGTAAAGCTAATTCCAAGGGCTTCTATCTCCTAGTCATAGCCCCAACATAGTTTCCTAATAATTAATATGTTATTACACAGAACACGCAAATTGTCCATGGCAATTCCATAGCAGTGTAGCTGTTTCTCCAAACTGTGAGCCAAGATTTAGACGAATTACACAGGACATGTTAAGCAAGGTTTTGAAATGCCTTAGAAATCAGAGTAGTCCAACAAAGTATGTAATATAACACTTGTCTGTGCTGGCTTGACATCTCTTTAAAGCAATTGCTGAGTGGTCCCTGGATTCCAAGGGGAATAGTGACAGGGAAGAGTCATACTGCAGTCAGTAGGAATCCATTGCTTGAAGATTCTGAAGGACTCCCAGCACAACTTTGTGACATAATAAATAGTCATCCTGTATGCAGAGACACCAGTGTGAGACACCTGGTTACATTCAACATAAATTCAGGACAAAGAAGTATAGACTGGCTGAAGTGCTGTTTATAACGTCAGTGTCTTTATAACATGGATACTAAAACAAATTTTTAAGAGCATTCTTGTTCTTTTTGTTCCATCATTCGTAAAAGTTCATGAATACTTATTCAATGCAGTACCTGTAAGTATGTGCTCAAGTCTCATTTAGGTCAGTGAAGGTTATCTCTTTGCTTAATTTTAGTCACATGCTCAGTCATTTTATCCTGAAGACAAATATACCGAAGCATGTGCTAAAATATTTGCTTATAGGAAGAATTAATCCTAATTTTTGTTGTGCTTTTCTTCCCACCAGCTGTTTGTTCTAAATTGAGTTAGCCACATCTTGTCTCTTCCTGTATGAAAACTCTTTTTAGGGGTAAGTTTAACTCATATGTAGAAGAGTCTAGAGGTAATGATAACTCAGCAACAGCAAGAATTCAGCTGAAAGATGAAGTTTTGCGGGGTAGAGTTTATGTTATCTCACCAGCTTTGTTGTTGATCCCTGCTTTTCTTTTTGCTTAAAGTAAAGGGAGGGGTGGGGTGGGGTGTCTGCTATCTGTACTGTATTGGTGCTTTGCTTGTATTTCAGTTACTTAGAAAGGGACAGACTTTTCATATTTTTAGACACCACTTGCCTGGAAGGCTGTTATTTTCTTCAAAGGAGAGGGCTAAAATGATGCTTTAGGCCCCAGATTTTTCAATGCATGTGGATATGTACCACAAATTGAGGCCTTTAAAAGGCATAATCTAGATGAATATTGAGAACTTACCTTAGTTTGGATCATGCCAAAACGCTGATCTCTCAAATCTCTCACTATCTGCTTGATGTTGAACTGTCAGAAGAGAACAGGTTTTTTATTTTGTTGACATGCAAGTTACAAAGAAAGATTTAAGCATGTTCAGATGGGGAAGCTGTGACTCAGTTCTTTTACAAATAGTATATTTGTAGCTATGATTTTTGTTATTTAAAACAACAAAAGCTGGGATTATTCCATTTTGTTACAATGAATTCTACTAGGAATTATTCTGGTCTAGGATACCCCCACATGTTGTTGACATCTATACCAGTTTGTAATACTTAATGATGATCTCTTTGATACTTACACATAAATCTTTTTCTATATAGCTGAGCAGAACTTCAACACACAGCAAAACTCCGCTTCTTCCGATGCCAGTGCTGCAGTGAGCAACAACAGGTCCTGTACTGTGAGCTTTTCTCATGTAACAAATGAATTTTACAAGCTGCTCAGCCAGTTTGGGAGTATTGTGGTCTGGCCAAGTGGTAAACTGCAAATGACTTATAACGCGCTTTTCTTCTGTCTGGAAGAGAAAGACCAGAAATGTTAAAAATGATCAGTCCTAAAACCAATATTCAAGGAATTTCACCCATAAATTTTCCTTCAGCATCACTGTTATTCAATGTCTACTCTACTGTCAATTCTTCACCTTTTCATACTTGACACTATTAAGGTTTCTTTCAGGTTTTCAGAAATGCACTCAGATAATTTCCTTCATAGAATTTTGATGAGACACTGAAGTTACTGTCTTGCCCCAAAAGGATGTATTTGTTAGTTAGAAAGGAAAAAAAATCCACATTTGTTAAATTAGAACATTCCAGTACTGTTTACAAAAATTGGTTTTGTAACTGAACTAAGCCATCCTAGTAGAAGAGTATTAATATGATAGCCAGGATAGCAAGATCATAGATGCTATTCTGGCTATCAGATATAAAAGAATAATTTGGGATTGGATACCCTAACATACAAACCAGTTCAACTAAAAAAATGCTTACAGAAATAATCATAATGTAGATAAAGGGTATTATTAATTGAATAGTTCTGTGACATGACTTCTTGTTGCCAGCTTGCCAAAACACATTAAGCTGAATGCAAAAGAACTACCTGGATTTTTATCATCGGAAGAATTTGTATGCATGTCTGCATTTCTGCTGAAGTAAACCTGTTGCTTTCTGTAGTAATTTTGTACTGGTCCAAGACAAACATAATAAACATAACATGTTCACTGAAACAATCACATATAATGGCCCATCTTCCCATCTTAATAATCTTCTGGAAAGACTCATGTCAAATGCTTTACTATGCTTCACACTCAGTGACATAACGTGAATTGTGTTTTCTTCATATAGAGAAATTGTTTTCTTGATGGATGTGTTGGGTTTGTGTGTGGCAGTTTTGGTAGTGGGGGAGGGGCTACAGACACGTCTCCTGTGCTCCCCTGGCTCCAAGTCAGACCCGCCTCTGGCCAAGGCTGAGCCAATTAACAACAGTGGCAGCGCCTCTGTGATAAGGGGAATTTGAGAGGAGGAAGAGTTGTGAGGGAGATACCTATGCAGACACTGAGGTCAGTTGAAGAAAGGAGGAGAGGGAGGGGGGAAGGTGCACTGGAGCAGTGATTCCCCTGCAGCCCGTGGTGAGAGGGCAGGCTGCCCCCTGCAGCCCATGGAGGTCTATGGTGGAGCAGATGCCCACCTGCAGCCCATGGAGGACCCTATGCGAAAGCAGGTGGCTGTGCCCAAAGAAGGCTGGGACTCTGTGGGAAGCCCCCACTGGAGCAGTATGTTTCTGGGAGGATTGCAGTCCATGGGAGAGACCCATGCTGAAGCAGTTCATGAGGAGCTGCAGCCCTGTGGGATGGAATCACGTTGGAGAAGTTCATGGAGGACTGTCTCCCATGAAAGGGACCTCATGGCAGAGCAGGGCAAGAGTGTGAGGAGTCCTCCCCCTGAGGAGGAAGGATCAGCAGAAACAACGGGTGATGAACTGACGACAACCTCCATCCCCTGTCTCCATGTGCTGCTGGAGGAGAGGAGGTAGAGAAATGGGGAGCAAGGCTGAGCCTGGGAAGAAGGGAGGGGTGGGGGAAAGGTGTTTTTAAGATGTGGTTATATTTTCTCTGTGTCCTACTCTGATTGATAAGTTAGTGGTGGTGGTGTTAAAATTAAATTGATAGGTTTTTTCCTTCCCCAATCAAGTCAGTCTTTTGCCCATGACCATAATTTGGGAGTCATCCCTCTCTGTCTTTGTCTCAATCCCCAAGCCTTTTGTTTTATTTTCTCTTCCCTATCCCTGAGGGGGAAGGACTGAGCGACCAGCTATGTGGTACTCAGTTGCCATCTGGGCTTGAACCACAACAGTGGAAAAAGACACCAAGTTAATCTGGCACAAGTATGAATATTTTAATTATTCTATTAATTAATATGTCCTGCAGAAATTTTTGCAGAGCTTTACTTAATGTTGAGGAAAGACTGATGGACTTACAGTTGCCCCAATTTCCATGTTCTTACACCTGGATTCTGTATTTGTTAGGTTTCTAAAAATTTGCTGCTAGATTTTTAGTTTCATGTGTTTTCATATCTTTTCATGAATGAAAGGAGGATCATTTGTTCTAAATTCTAGGATGAAAACCACCTTCTTCCCCTCTTTCCTTCTGTTACAGAATATGAATCCACTCTGGCAGCCCTTAATCATCTGATGAGAACAGTCAGTAATTCTGAAAAACACTGAACTCATCAGCTGTGTGACTATGAAAGAACTAATTTTTTTATATTCTTGTGCAAATGTATGTAATGTTGGATCCATTGCTTGTGCAATGAACAAGAAGCAGCATCTCATTAACCCTAATTTCATGCCTGTTATTCAGATTTTTACATTCCCAATGTTATGGAAGAAGCAAACAGTACTAGTATTTACTCATGTAAATAATCAATTTCATCATATATGAAAGTATTAACTCCACACAACTTACCTGCTTGTTGATCATTTCTATTGTTCTAATTATGAAGTAGTCCAGAATTTGGTAGTTGTCTAGCCTGAGATGGAAATTAGCCAGGTGTATGGAGTCATGGGGAGGTTCAGGCCAGTATTGATGCCATTTGACTTGCCCTTGCTCCACTTCTTTCATCATCACGGCAATCACATCAGATTCACTCTCCCAGACCATTTGCCAGAAATCAGCCATAGTGGATGGTAGAGGCCACTGCGTTATGATGTAGAAATGTTCTTCTTCTCCAACTTTCATTCTAATGTAACTTGCATTAATGTAGCCATTCTCTTCTCCCAAAGGAACTCGTGTCTTATCATCTGTATAGAAACAGAAAGTTGCTATTTCAGCTGTAGATTTGAAACATTTCTACCATCTCTAGCACTCATGAGATGGAGGATCTCAGCCTTTAGCAGCAAAGTATGCTCTTGATTTTAGAATACATTTGGCTAGTAGCACTAATATTAAACACTACTAATAGGAATTCCCACAGAAAAATTGTATGTTTCACTGCACCTTTATTTCTCTTAAGATACTTGCATAACACTCTGACAAGCCTTTTAATTGCCATAGAATTGTTTGGCAGTGATTCCAAATAGTGTGTTCACCACTGTTTTTAATGTATGACATGGGAACATTGTCACTGGATATTGACATAACAGGAAACTTCTGAGAATGTTTACTGTATCACTAATATAGAGAGGTAACTGTGCTACAAGTTTTGCATTGTTGTTGTCCTGCTGCTGCAGTTTAGAAAGATATCAAGGGTCCTGAAGTTTTCTCCTTCTGCCGTGATACCTCTCAGGGAATCATTGGGCAGTACATGAATTTTTGGAAATTCTTCTTAACAGCAGTCATTCACCTCTTAGACTCAAATCTTCCTTCTAAAATGACTTTTCATCAGCAATTAAACTTTATTCTGACTCAGATGAGACCTGAGCAGCTGAAAGCTCTGCTTGGATATTATGCTTTCAAATACCTCTGAAAGAATCTTTGTCTTTCCAAGAGCTATAAAACTCCATGATTTCCACTGTACTTTTCACAATTCCACTGTGTCACAAGCAGTAGACGTATCTGTACGTTTAAATACATTTAAAGAATTGCTATTACAGTTCAAGTTACACTTGCCCACAGAAATGTAGATCAATATCTCAGAGAAAGAGGGAAGGAAACACCAAGACAGCTGGCCCCCCACCAAACCAAGTCCTGTCTTGTGGAAGATGATACTTCAGAAAATTACGTATTGTGCAATTAAGACATCCTTACATGAACTCTACCCCTTCTGGAAAAATCTCAACACATTTCATTATTAGTGGAGCTCTCTATGCCTAAGGATGTGTTGGGATTTGCACTTCCTACATGTCAGTGTTATAACTGTTTTTTCTGATGTCTTTGTTCACTGAATATATGTCCCCATTAGCATGCATGCTTACATGGAAGAATATCTCCGTATCTGTTTTTATCCTGATTTTCTGTGGCTTTGCCAGTTCTGCAGTCATCTACTGGTTTCGCATGTTCTAAAACCTAGATCAAAGAGCAATAGTCAGTCCATGTTCACTTTCTTTATAGACAATCTTTACGGAGTTGGTGTGAGCAAACTTTACTGCTGAACTTTACTGCTTTACTTTTCTTTATTCTCTTACCTCTTTGGTATGCACTGCACAATGATCAGCCATCACATTATGCCACTATACAATGTGTATAGATTGAAATACATGTGACAGTTCTTTAACATCTTCATCAGTTGCTACAGCTTTTACTCAGATAAAATATCCATTGGCTTTGGTAACCAGTGCTTTCCCTATTAGATCTTTATATTTTCTGTGCAGACACAGGACTCACCTCATAGTATGCTACACCTACATCAGTAACAGAATTAAATTAATGTAAATTAATACATGCCCTTAAGCCTTCAGGGAAAGTCAGCAAATCTTATACACTCGAGCCTGTTGGATTTCATACCCAAAAAGTCAGAGATACAAAGGCAAATGAAAGAAAATTATAACATTGTAATTACTATGGAAGAAGTGTTAGCTATCTATTACATTGGTGATAAGTACATCCTTTATAGGAAATTCCAGTACTGTGTTGAAAAGTTATGAAATAATCTGTTCTTTGGGAATTTGCAGATAATTTATATCCTGAAATAAGATTTGATATACTTTCCTAATATTACACTTTTTCCTTATTTATATGCCATCAGACGTAATTATGTGTTTTCCTTATCTGTGGAGATACATTACCTTTTCTTTTTAATTTCACAAAGTTCCTGACCTTAATGGCACCTCATGGCAGTGAGTTCCACAGATCACTGCAGCACTGTGTGAACCATTTTCCTTTCACCAACTAAGTGTTTCAACACTAGTGAATACCTAGCAGCATGGATTTCTTGCTTTAGTGCAGCTTCTAGAATAGTTCTTAGGCGGATGTTCAGCAGAGCTGGGGAAGGATACAAAGAAGTCAATCTAGAAAAAAAGGGATTGATACTCTACTTTTGTGTATTATTTATTTTTCATTCATGTGGGCAGTATTTTTGGACAGGGACCAGTGTAAGCTTGACCTGTGTGTAAAGAGAGATCCAAATACTGTAGCATCACCCAAACAGAAGAATAGAAGCCCCATTCTGGCTTCAGTAATCCTCTGAGAAAGTGCAGTCAGTAAAGACATACAAGTCAACCTCCCATACAGTATGCAGAAGGCTGCTAAAAGTCACTTTCTTAGCTCTGCTAAACAGATCTTAAAAAGGAATCACACTTTACCATAAACTCCTTTAACACCTCCTGATTCTCAATCTGCAACTGAAGGCCTCGTATAAGACCTGTGATGTCAGTCCTTGGACCTACTCCAGTCAACGATGGTCTAAAGTTAATTAACTGAGTCAGTTCATCTCCAGAAGCAAAGGTTCTGCCTATATATCAACAAAAAAAACAAAGGAGATTTTAAATATTACTGTTCATAGTGCAAAGTCTTGGCTTTAAAAACTAGGGGGCTGCAGTACTTAAGTATATTTTGATGCTTATGCTGTGGAAGTGAAATATAAAAAAGTATTTTTGGCTTACTTTTGTTCACAGCAGAAAGAAGAATAAGCACCATGGATACATCCAGCACGTAATTTAAAAGCAGATCCAACTACTGCAACTTGCCTCATAGAGTTTCTAAATACAGTCTGTTCTAAATAAATGGCTCTTGCAGAATTGTAAACTTCAATACTAGTTTATATTGGTATAGGACACTCTGGCCACATCTTCACAGGCAATCATCTTCACATTACCAACACTGTCCTGAAAATTAGTATTGCCACACCCCATTGCTAGGAATAATCACTGCAGATTCTTCCCCCCTGAAGTAAGAAAACATCTTCTGTTCTTTTCATTTTACCTCACACTCCCCTTCAGGAACAAAATGGGAAGTATCTCTGATGCACCAAAATTAGGATTCAGTTTTACTAATTAGCTCATCCTGAAGTATATGTTCTGATCCAAAACTTGACAGATTAAGAAGATGGATAAACATTTTAATCTCCAAAAATATCACTTCTCTACTGAAGCAATTCAAAAACTTTTATTATCATGCAGAGTAAAACCAGTAGCTTGTTTGGTAAAAAATAGTGGATTAAGGCAGAGGAATTATGGAATTTGTCCCTTTGGTCATAGGCTACTGTTGGCAAAGAATAACATGTCAGCTGTCTCAACAAACACCTGATGATCTGTTCCACAGTTTTATTATAGGCTGAAGACAAGGAGCAAGGGTCTGTTTTCCTCTTGTAAGATGTTGTTGCTATGCTTAACTAATCTTTGTTACAAAAGTGTTGTGCTTGCTATGCTTTTGTCTGGGCCACAACTTGCACCTGCCTGGCCTGAGCTTCTAAGACACTTTCTGTTCTCTAACCCTCACAGAAATGAGGGTGTTTCTATTCGCTAGTTGAGAGTGCCAATGAAGACAGATCCTCCGCTCCAGACAGAGCATGCTATTTCCCATACACCTATTTCCTTCCAGATCAAGTGGAATAAAAACCCCAAACTTTGAGCAAGTAGTAGAAGATAGATTGGTTATAATTTACTGTTTGCTAGCCAGCAAAATGAAGTAATGTGAGGGAGATAACTGTGGTTTACTTCTGATAAGAGTGATCAGCAATTCATTGCTTCCACAGGGCAAGAAGAATCAGGGAGAGACCTGTATTTCAGAAAATCTATGGGATACTACAGCACCCTCAGTATGATTCATTTCATAAATTATTCTTGTTTGGAGCAGAAGCAGCTTATTTTCCTGTAGGAACATCTAGGCAGGTTCTCTGTAAAACTGTCTTCTGGTATCACAGGGGCTTTAGTGCCTCAGCAGTGAAAGTGCTTCATTATGTGTTTAAGCACATCAGTTCTAGAGGTTTTAATGAAGTTCTTATATGAAGTGAAATCTAGTGATTCTGGGAAAAAAGTCTTGAGATAGAATTTGACCATTCATTCTAGGTTTTTGTGTAAGCATTTAATTTACATTTTTGAGGAGTTATATGGGAACAATAAGGGAGAGAGGAGAATTATTTCAAAAACCTGTTGCATCCAGTAATAATAAGCACATTTTTTAGTATGTTCCTGGAATTTGTTCCATTAATTCTCAAAGTCCTCTTTGTAATTGCTCTTCATATACGAAGAATGCCTTCTACTACATCCAGTCTGTTTACCGTATCTCTTGTAAAATAATCCAACTGCTTTTTTTTTTATTCATTTTGGGACAAACTAAAAATTTCAGTTTTTTAATTATGCGCTGGAAAGCTCCCACAAATTTGCTTGACCCAAAATTGCAATGTTCATTTTCTTTTGTTCAGCACTGAGCTAATGTCTCATTTCTTTGCACTATTCAATAGTGCATGATTTGAACATATGTCATGATGTTGCTCAAATTAATTCAGCAACATTTTTTTCCTCTTGTTTGCTCAATTTGCACACCTAACTGAGTATAATCAAGGTATTCAGATAGTTTCCTCCTTTGGGGTATTACATGATATAAAAAATTACCAAAAAAAATCCCAACTGGAAACCAAACCAAAACACACACAAAAAACCAAAAAACAACAACAACAACAACAAAAGTTTCTTATCCTTTTGAAACTGGAGTTCCAAAACAGAGGTGCTCAGAGCAGTGGCAAGTGGGTGATGGCCAGGAGAGCTGTCCAGCCGTCCTCCCTGAGTTCAGTTAACTACATTCAGACTCATGTTCCTTCTTTCTAACAGTTCTCCAAGAACTGGAGAGCTCCTGCTGTAGGCTGCCTTCTTGTGGATGTTGCAAAGGTTTGATGGCCTTCATATGTAGCAATGGTAAAAATTGTGTCCTGAGTGCCCTGGTCTTTGAGACACAAAGAGTAAATTCTTAGCTTGTGTACCAAGCTAAGAACTTAGCTTGTGTACTAAGCATTAGTGCTGTTCTTACTGTACATATACAGAGGAGTTGGCCTATAATGTTACAGAAACAAGAGAAGTTTTTGCATGGTTACTTCTAGGTAGAACAGAAATCCTGTGGGGCATATCATCATCTTCATTGTTCCAGCTATCTGACTCAGACTGCTGACTCTCTCTTCTTTTGCCTTCACATTCTGCATATTTCTGTGACCTGTAAAACAGCATTAGTTGAATAGTCTTATGGAACTGGCAGAAGCTTTGATAAGCTGAACCATACAAAAGTTTTGGGTTTAATCTATTTTTGATTGCTTTGAACTTTCTTGAGCAATTATTTTCAAGAATGAGTGTAAACTCTGAAGAACATAAGTTCAAGGACTAATAGTAGCATTTTGTCTGGACTAGTGTTTGTAAATCTAGCTGGTGAAAACCATTATTATCTGTATGCGGTATTTTAGTTTTTCAAAGAGATAACAGCGTATTTCATATCAAAAAATGCCCCCAAAAAATGATTGGAAGTAAGATTTGTCACAGTTATAGGCAATTTTTCATGTATGACATTTTTTAGTTGTCAGGCTATCATAGCTAAATAGGCTTTGCTTGTTACTGTTTCCTAAAGTAGAAAATTTTAAAGCACTTAAATATGTTTTAGGTAGAAGATATGCCTACAATCCAGGATACAACTATAATGTGTGCAGAATGGGTCAAATATTCCTCTACCAGATAACTCCAATACCTTTAGACCTAACATTTAACTATGTTAGTAGGCTTAAGTGTATCACAGTCTTACATTATACTATCCTATGTATAACCATAATACATAATGTTAGAAATAGTAGAAGTTACACTTAAGAGGGAGAATAAGGTAATAACTAGCAGCTTTGCAAATATCAGTAACTATTGCAGGCTGTGTATGTTCAAGTTATACAAAGCTTTTGTAAGTAGAAAACAGAACTACCAGAAAATACTGGTAGTAAAAAAATTCAGATTAAAGGACAGGGTCCAGAAAACCATCCTAATTGCAAAACAGCCATCCCTATACATGATAACTTTGTATTAGCCGTATCCTGTACACAGAGCAAGATAACCTGATTACCTGGTATATCACAAAATAATGTTATATTAGCAATGAGATAATAGCAAGTGGCACCGAACCTGTGTTCACGTGGATGTTCTTACTTGCAGATGCTCTTAAAGCTTCTTTCAAATTTTATCTCTGCAAGCAGGTAAGTTAGGGAAGATTTTCATCCCTAACTGATTGGCCAATACTGTTCTTACAAAATTTTAAGTTTTAAATGTAAATATTTAGTCCTTTTCTCTATTTACGTGGGTTATAAGTGCTAATGAGAATAATAATATTTCATATACTCTGCATCACTGTAATAGACAAAACCCACATCTTATCAACACTCCATTATTATTTGATTTCCCATTGTACTGTAGATTTTAAATTTGAAGTAAAATTCTTCGCTTCTTGTAGTATGTACTTTCTTTGGAGTAACATCCTCAAATTCTCTTGATTCCCAGATGTCTGGAGTTCAACATTTGTATTGCTAGAGCCATAGGAGCACAGGCTCCAGCCCAGGCTGGAAGACATGCTTGGAGCACTTAGTAAAACCCATGGGGACCCTATCCATACCAGCACGACAGTGCTACCAGTGTTCTGTCTCCTCTCTAGCTAGAAAGGCTCAAGTTAGCTTAGGCATCTCTGCATGAGCTGTTACAACTAGAAGCTTCTGTTTCATTTGTCTTAGTAGTTGTGTGGAAGCCATTTAGCAACTCTTACTGCAGATGGAGCTGCATTCCAATAGAACTGTATTTCTATTATTTAGGACACATGACTGCATTTGCATACCATATAAGGACAGTTCTGGAAATAGAAGAATAAATTATCCATACTATTTATTTTAGTAGTTTTACTGTATTTGAAAGACTTACCTATCTGAAATATTACTGATGATATCCTTATAATCTTGTCCAGCCAGCTGACCTTGCTGAGAGGAATTGTGTGTACTTTCTGGATCCTGCAGGTTTAAAATAAGAAAAAGCTGTGAAAAATCAGTACACAGAAACATCAAGAATATCATTACTTTCATCAACATTCCTTCTTATATCTGACAAAAATGTGTCCTTCACTCAAGAAAGAAAGGGAAAATAGAATAGTTTCTACTTTCAGAATAAAGTGTTAAACTTTGATTCAGCATTGCAGTATCTGCTAGGAGTAAAAAGCCACATCAGCTGTGTTTGTGAGTTTTGCAAAAAAACACAGTCTTCAGACATCTCTACAATTTAGCATGCACGACTAAACTTTGAAAAGGTTCATGTTAGTTATATCCTCTCTGATCTCATGAAGAAAATGCAATCACAGGAATCATGAGTCACAGTCTACTCTTCACCTCCCACCTCTTGGCAGCAGACAGCACCAGTGTATGAGATGGAATTGTTGATAATAATTTCCTTTTTTTATCTCAGGCACAACGATAGCAGTTGTTAGAAGCAGGCTGCAGCTGCTCTACTGAATAAGCGCTGAACTAACTGAGAAGGCAGACCCTTGATAACCCTCCATGTGCAGTATAAGCAATAGTATTTGTGGCTGGTTTTCCATCCTAGAGAATGATAACTAGGTCCTGCATTTGAATAATGATGCAGGATATGTGCCATTAGTATGTGGAAGCAGCTTCTTCTCAGCTGTAACACTTGATAGATAATTATTTAAATTTTAGTTCAGAGTAGTGTTTCTTCTTCTATCCTTGCTTAATATTCCAGATGCACTCAGAAACTACCCTGGCATGTTACACAGTATAAACTACTGAATACCCCACAGAATCTTAACAGTAGCTCGATTTACACCTTCTTTTCTTACTTTTGTGTTTGTATTTCCCCATTAGAATTGGGGAATTCATGGCTGCCTATTTAACCATGAATTCATTTACACAGTTTCTGCACCTACTGAGTACACTGATTGGAGAATGCTATATGGATTTTTGTTTTCTATTTGCCAAGGAAAGTTATTTTACTGCTGCTTTTTTGCATCTGTTTTTTTTTTCAGGGGCTTGTAATTTTCAAAGTCTACATCTTTGGAGTCAATGGCAGCTGTGCTCTATAAAGTAAGGCATAAATAGTTTTTATTCATAGAAAATAGCTAAAGGCAAGCTGGAAATAAAGAAGAGAGTTAATGGAACCAATTCAGCAAAAAATTTTTGCGTGTGCTTAAAGTTAGGTATGTGCTGTGCTAAACTAGATAGACTTAACCACATGCTTAAAGCTAAATTTGTGCCTTAATACCTTGCTAACTCAGGGATCTAGTGAGTAACCTGTAACCTTAGTACTATCTCCTACTTCTCATTGATATTATTTCTTGGGTGTACTTCTTTGTCAGATCATAGATGTGACCTTGTTTTCATATGACATTTCACCAATCCCTAACAGTTTAATTGCAACACACATTCCAACAGTGTACTTAAAACTTCCTCAAACATTCTTCTTCAAGGTTTTCTCAGCTTATTCATGTCAATGGTTTCTTCCATTTTTCTTTTTCTAGTTTGATTATATTAGTTGAGACAGGGTTTGTCTTTTTTGTTTGTTCTGGAGGATAAGAGGACCTGTATTTCTCACATTTTCTGAAGAGAGGTTTTATAGTTGTAAACTTAAAAATAATAGATGCTGTAAAATTTGATGTGGAATGTCTTGCAGGACTTACTAATATTCAAAAAACATAACCATGTTTAGTGAAGTTTGGGTGCCTTGGAGTTATGAATATTAATGGAAGACTGTTGAATAGAAATATTTTAAAGTATGTTGTTTTAGAATACAGAAAGAATGGTCAAATTAATAAATTATTCATTTTGATCTTATAAAGCACCAGAACTAGACTTGCATATGCAACCTTCCTTCCCCCTGCCCTTTTAGCATATATATTATACTAATCATATGCTCTTATCTCAGTGAAATCCCCTGACTCATTCAAATGTTAGCAGTTCCAGTGCACTTCCCTCATATTAATCTTTTTTCATTAAGAAGGTATGGTTCTTGCCTGCATTGCAGCAAACCCATTTTGTAAACAAACATATGAGTTGCCTGATAACTTCTAGAAGCCTGATTCAGATTTTACCTTGGTGGACATCTGGTTGGATTCTTCTTCCTTGAAAGTGAAAACAGGCTGAGCTTGCAGGCTTCCCTCAGCACTGTCTGAATACCAGAAAACAAAAAATCTAAGTCAAATGCCTACAAAGCATGAAAACAGAGATCCATTTCTTTTGTGCCACCACATAAGAGGACCTTGATCTTGGACAAGGCACTGAGATACAGTGCCAGAAATTGCCATGGAATATCCCTTTCATGGGTGCTCTAAGATGGTTAGTACAGCACAACTGCCATATATCATCACTGAAGAAGCCAGCACAATTCAGGTTGTGGGAAGATACACTGAAGTAGATCCCTGTATCAATAGCAGTTATAAAAAACCTGAAACATCATTTCAGTTTTCCCTCCCTAACCCAGCCCATTCCTTTGCAGTGCTAAGGGACAAATACCATAGATTAATGCTAATGCTTCTATAATACTATTGGGTTTTACTGGTCCAGGAAAGCAGTTTAAACTTTCCAGCAACTGGGTAATTCACCAATGTCATGTGAGATGCAAATGAATGTCCCCACAGCTAGTTCCTTGAATTTGCAGAGTTGGAGAAAAGGCTAGTCTCACTGAAGTGAACGGGAATATTTCCACAGCCCTTAATAGAGAAAGAGCTTCAATCAGCCTTTTTATAACTGGCCATCCTTCCATTTTTTTTGCATCATTAACCCACAAAATTAAAATAGAATAGAGACTGAGCAGTGAACATCCTCCTTCCAGGCCAATGCTGAGCATAGCATTCTCATCCTTATGGAAAAGCTTTGCTCTTGAAATACACTGGGTAGCTTCCAGTAAGTGGAGTGGGCAGTGCTTATGACACAGGCTAGGACTTCAAGAGGATCAGGTTCAGTGTAATAGATATGGAAAAATAATTGAGAACCTTGAACCTAGAGGCTGCTACTGTCTAACAGCAGAATTGCCTAAAATAGGTATGCAGGTAAGTTGGCATCAGTAAAGCTAACTAGATGCATAAATGTTTGCTGTAAAGTATGTCCAAAATCCACAGTCAGCTCTGCATTTCTTCCTAGTCAGCTGGGGAGAAAGCAAATAGCTATGGCAGTAGCTTCTTGCTACACATTTGAAACAAAGCCTCCAATCTTTAAGCAGAAGGCCAGAAGGTATATTAAGGAGGAATTCTATATTCTTCCCACTGAATTTTCTCTACATTATAGAAAACATTTTAGTGTTCAGAGAAATAGAATGTTGAGGAATACAGATCGATAATCTATCGGTAATAGTAACCCTTGCTTCCACTCCCAGCTTTACTTAGTATTGAATTTTGAGTATTCATTAGAGCAGAGCCTTCAGTTCAAGTTTCTTCCATTGGAGTTAGTCAGGTCTCTAAGTACTGCCCTATGCAGGTGGGTGTGCTCTCAAATCAACAGCAACCAACCTGGGAGCAGAGGCTTTTGAATATGAACAATCACAGAAGGGAGAGGAGCTGTCTGCCACACAGAACAGGAGGTGTAGTGCTTCCAAGAGATAAGGTAGGAGTGCTGGGATGTGAAATTTGTAGGAAATGTGTTTTAGTAGCTGGGTTAATGATTGGCCGTGATTCCATCAGTATAAAATTGGGTAAAATCAGACCAGGAACCTGCATGACTTAAAAACAGAAGCTGAGTTAAAGCATCTCTGAGGGTCTTGCAGCTTTGCTTCCACTATTCCTAGGCTTAAAAATCATAACTGGGCATTCCTTCCCTGTGCTCCTATGTCTTGAGTAGCTTAGCCAGAGCTGTAGATCAGGGTGAGGAATATGTTTGTATCTACAGCTATGAATCAGGGCTAACTGTAAAGTTAGTATTCTTGGATTATTTTGCTACTAGGAAAATTGAATTCAGGCAACGCATGATCCCGCTTTTATCATATACTGAGTGGATGTAGCTGCTTACCAGGCTCTGCTTTTGTGTTTGGGGGGGAAGGTATACTGTTGCTCTGATTGCCTGAATAAGCCCAATGCAAAAATACGCTTCGGCAGACAGTGAGTTGAACAGTGCCTTGAGCCTTGCGCAGCAAATCTATAACTGTTTGGCGTGGCAGACCAGACACAAAAGTTTCATTCACCTGAAAAATACAATGATATGTACTTTCAGATTCCTGCAACAGAAAGCTTTTCTCTAATCACATATCCCAGTACTGAGCAATCTCTGTATTCTTTGCACTTCATATGTCCTCATCCTGTCCTATTTTAGTAACTTCAGCAGTACCCACAAAAGTATAGTCTGCATCTTCTCTGAGACACTAAGAAGACATTGTTTCCCCCACTCTTCAGGTGGAAGATGGAGGAGAGATGGAAGTAAATGAAAAATAGAAAAGCAAACAAAAATATTGAACCTTCTGGAGGGGGAAGAAAAAATAGTTTGGGATTAAAAATAAGATTATTTTTGCTTGACTTGAGAATACCTAACTGGCACTGATGACCAGTTCTTCCTAGTATCCTCCTGGTTAGCTGTTTTATGCATGTTTGGTCAGTTAACTCTTGTTTCCCTGATTTTCTCATGTGTAATCTGGGCACAGTTACACTATGGATTAGTTGTACTTTGTTGCTTGCCCTGCTGTTTTGGGTCTGAGTTGCTGCTGGAGTGCCCAACTGCCACCTCCAGCTGTAGAGTGGCCCAGTCCCACAGGAAGCTGAACTCTTGGCAAGGTGGAGGGGAGCAGAACAGCCCTCTGACCCCCAGGAGCCAAGGACACTGTCTTCTGCATGGTACTGTGCCAAACAGCCTCAGATTTCCAATTTGCACAACCTTTATACTAAATAGAATGCTCATTATAGAGTAACTAGAGAAAATGTAGGCCAAACCAATGAAGATCAAGCATTACCTTAAGTAGGATGTCACCAACTTGAAGCCTCCCATCTAGATCTGCAATGCTGTCTGGGCTGATGGCTTTTATTAGGATAGCCCTGCCATTTCTTCCACCTACCAGTGCAAATCCTAGGCTTCCATGTTCCGCTTTTTCCAGCTCAATATTAATAATTAAGTCCTACAATAGAAAAGGATGCAGTCTAAAGTGGAGTTTATTTAGGGCTCTGTTTTGTTTGTATTTTTAATACCAAAGAATTTCATTATGCTTCACATTCCTCACTGTCTGATGTAGATTATGGGATATATCCATCTCTTGAATAGGTGTATAGAGCTTCCAGTGATTAACGTAGCAGCTGTATGTATGTATCAGACTGAAAATAGTACATACTTTTTTCCATCATATTTTAAATAATTTCTGAAGCAGAAAATAAGCTCTTAAGAGCAAGGAAACATGTTATTTTGTAATCCTTTTTTAATATATCAAATGAATCTCCTTAACTAACAAACAAGTTGCTCTTTTCTCCAGCATGACAGAAGCGCAGTACATACTCCATTATTTTATTATTCTATAATGAAAATCTTAACCTTGCAACCCCAAGATACCCATCTATTTGGCTTTAGCACTTCATTCAGTTTTAAAATCAGCTGCTTTTTTAGGGTCAAGTATTATGTCAGAAATAGCAGCAACCTAGAAATGTTTATGACTTTTAGCATAACTAGTTTCAATGTTGCAAATATTTTCAGATATTATTTTAGCAAGTTGAACAGATAAACCATCATGGATTAAATGGTGTGGAAGAAGCAGTAATAGTGATGACTTAATCAAAAGTGAGAAAACTGTTGCAATTTTTATGCCAGGTTGGAGGTCTAATTTTAACAAAACACAAATCAAGAGAAAAGTAGTAACTCCATTCCCACAAAATATCAGTCCCCATGTGGGTAATTTCAATTCCACGCAAGGTTATTTTCCACGCATTTGCACAAACAGAATTGATGTTTGCACTTGTAAGAATTTTGAAGCATTGTATGTTGAGCATTGAATTTACTTCTTTTTTCAAAGAACACACCTGTGTATTTTAGGAATTCATCATTTCAAAAATAGCATTCATTACTCTTGCCAGATTCAAACCTTTATGGTTTATGTCAATGCTACATAATACTTCAAACATTTGGAGTAATTTTACACCCTTTTCAAATGCCCCATCTGAAATTTCAGAATGAAAAGATCATTGTGGAAAATGCTTTACAATTACAATTGCACTTATTTTCCCCAGAATCCCACACTGTGTCATTCTGTATCTTTTTTCTGTGTTACTTTCTTTTTAAACTAAAGATTAATCTTGTAAAACTGTTAGGAGTACTATGAAGACCTAATGGAGGGGCTACATCATGTTCTTATATTACCAAGCTGGTAAAACAGTGATATTATACATTGCAAAACAGCAATAGAGGAGTCTGACCCCAGGAAGTGCTCAGTGCATTCTAGTCCATGAATGCTGAAGCAATTCAACACTTCACAGGACACTCTACAAATGCATTATATTCTCATTTTGAAAGAAACTGCAGAGGAAGAAAATACATTAAATCTCACTACTGAAAAAAATCGCATTCCATATAGCTTATTTTGTTTGATGGGCCATCTCACACTTGATAAAATTGTCACTTACCTTACGTTCTGGGGAATTGGGAATGTTTTGCCGAGCACCACAGTTTGTTTCCTCCAAATGTTTCTCTGTGAAAAAGCAGCAACAATTTTTACACAGTTGTCCTGGTAAAAACTTCTATAGTATAACACTCAAAATCATATTCAGAGACATAATAGATCATTTTCTATTTGACATGTAAAATACAAAAAAATTCCTGTGTACTTATGTGGGTTTACACTCCTGAACTATGAACTGAGCGTTCTGCATATTATTATGCCTGTAGACTTAAGTGAGAAGGTTCCAAAACAATCTTTAAAAGCAGCATATTACAGGGTCAGAGACACCAGATGGACAACAGGTAATCTATAAATGTTCTCTGAAACTCTGGGGGAGACAGTTTTCTTTATGAAGAATTAATCTTTCTTGGGTGCTGCCAGACATATTTTATTTCAAGGACAGGGCACTAAATTTTGCAGACCCTTACTGAAAAATACAAAGTTCCTTAGCATGTTGATGCAGCAAATGCTGTTCTTGGGAATTCAGGTTTTAATTTGAGAAAGAAATAATGGTTTCCTCTGTCTCAGCAGGTTGCCCTAAAAGCATACATGTAGGTTTGTTCTGAGAGACCTCCTGCTCACCTTCAGATAAACAAGGGAATGTAAACTCTATGCTTAGATTATTAAACAAAGCATCAATATCTAATATTGATACTATATGAGGCAGTTTGAGACCCTTATTACTGCGTGATTAAGTTTGCCAATTTGCACAGTGATATAAACAATTCTGTTACGAATTGCAGAGATATTACATCTCAGTCATTGGTATTTTTAAAATTGTAACAATAATCAGAGATCAGACAGTGTCATTCTAGACATGTGGCAATGATCAGGCGGAGAAAGAAGCCAGGTGAGTTAGTGTCTGCAGAGATATATATGTAAGAAGACAGTGTGCATTTCCTGATGCTCCCACCTCTACCCACCTACTCCCCAGTTTTGGAGGTTTGCTTTATCATATCTTGGTGATCATAATTGTCTTCCACAAAGCACTCTTAATGTATGGATTATAGAAAATAATGAGTGTTCTGTTGTTAAAAAAAAAAAAAAGCTCCCTCTTGCAATGTAATTTTAGTATGCATTTTTGTAACTAAGACAGTCTATAAAATTAAGGCTTGCTTCCTTGATAGCAAATTATTATAGATTTATCTATAAATCTATCAGAGATTATAGCAAACAGAACACCAAATACCAAATTACTAAAGATTTTTTTAAGTGCCTTATAAAAGGGAAGAATCTTGTTTTATAAGAGAGTCAGGTAACTGTACCATTGTAGAGTTCATAAATCTGTATCAGAGGTGGGTCAGACCTATTTTGAAGGTGTCTTGAGGAATCTTGGAATCTGCAAAGCTTATGGAGCAAGGTTGTGTAAGCAAGGTCCTACCAGGGTATGCATTTACCATGCTTAGTTATACCACAGTAACTGAGAGTACACCGTAACTTTCTCTGTGTCTTGTAAATTCAAAGCAGCTTGTTCTTCAGTAAGTCAAATAATCTGTTTCAGTTTATAAAAACAAACACATGGCTAGTTGTTTTAGGGTAGGAAATCTGTAACTAGCTTGGAATAATTTCTTCAGGTAACCATATGCCAGTATTCAGGCGAGTATAGGTATATGAGCAATTCTGGTCCAGGGTTACTTTTTCAGGTCATCTTTACATGATTAAAAAGAGTCAGGCCTGATTTAACACTCCAGCCAAATGTAGACTGGAAAGTATTACTTGCAAGGCTAATGCACTTCCTATGCAGTGACGTAGATGTGATACCTATCGTTCCATCTGATGGTGCAGATGCAACCTCTGCTTGCTGAGACTCCTACTGCTAGAGCAATTCTGGTCAAGTCTTTGTAGTGCAGATGATTGCTGAAGTTTTCTGTCAGTTTTAGTATTAAATATCACCCCCTGATATAAATGCTCTTATATTAACTAAGGGATATTGGTGATGTCTGTTTCTGATTTTCTACAGATTTACTGATAACAGTTTAAAAAGTTGGTATAGAAAATGAAGTACTGGCTCATATTAAATAGTGGCTGGGAAAAAAAAAGTGCTGGAAAACCCATTAAAGAATAGTTTCAATCAAAACAGATGTTGAAATATAAACACATAAAATTCCCATTTAATAATAACAGACTAAAAAAATAGAAACTGACTATGCAAAATGCAAAGAAAATTTTTTTAAGAGAACTATACATTTTTATGTCTGTCTTTAAAGAGCTACCACATTTTTTTCAGACCCTTAGAATGGCCATAACAGAAACACTGTATGCGAAGTTACAATCTGTTAATAACTTTTAAATGCAATGAATCAATACCCTATGCTTATTTCCAAAACCAGAAACAAATTTTGAACTAAACCCCAAAAATATTAGCCTTACTTACTATTATCCTGCTCTATAGGAACCACTGGATTGCCATTTCTGGGGGCAGAAAAAGTGAAATATGTGCACCATTAAGAGCTGCATGCTTTGTAAAGCACATATGAAAAATATTTTTAGAAAGTCAGTTGTCTGAATTGTAGCTGTACTTCTAAGATTTTGTTTATGGTGCTTTCCTAAAAAGCATTTATATTAGTATATAAAATATTTGACTTATTTAACAATAGTGAAACTTTTTATTTATATGGGTTGGGGAAAGAAGGAACACGTTAAATCATCTGTCCCAGTAAAGAACTGCTTTGTAGTACATTTTGAATTTGGCTTTGGTTTCCTCTCCCTTACCCTATTTCTGTTTGACTGCTTAGATTGTAAATTCTTTCAATCAGGATGTGTTGCTTGCTAACTGCTTGTACAGCAAGAAGTATAATGAGGCTGCAGTTTCTTCATCTGCTAGACCAGTGCAAGTTAATAAAACATTGATAAAAGTTTGAGGTATGTTAAGACCGCTGTGACAGACATACTACTGCTCACTCTGGTTATGTAACTTAGTTTATTCACATACTCTTGGGTTATTGTTTGACTGTTCCTCTGACATCTTTGGAAGCTATTTCTGTATCAGTCCAGGACTGGTGCTATGTAAGACTGTAGAACACAGTAAATCTAAAGTGCAGCCAAGAATTGATGAGAGAAAATCTTAACGGCAGATTATTGATCAAGCCTGGAATGACTTTTCGTTACATGCTGCAAATTAAATGCTGCATTTTTAATACCTTTCTAAAGCATTTGGTTGTTGGGAATAACTCAGTGTTTCCCAGCAGAGGTAATTTCTTGACTGTAGTTGTGAATCTGAGATTGTATGGAGAAGATTGTCACTAGTGGTGGAAAGACAAAGATTTTCCCTAGAGAACAGGATGTATGGAAATGGTGGCCAGTCTCACAGTTAAAGGTTTCACATTTGTGTTTGCATGATGAAGTTTGAAGAGTTCTCATTTGTGTTGTATGAGTCTACTTGTACTCACTGTGTTAGCTGTAATTACAAGGAGTTAAGATATCTTATGTATCTTAAGTATCAGGTTGCATCCTTCAGACCTTTGAGGTAAAACATTTTTCCTGTAGTTTATCTAATTTTTATTGTTTCACTTGACGTAAAGTTTAAAAACCTGCTTCAACATTAGGACTGAGATTGAGTATGCTCAGATTTACCTTGTGGCTTTGATTTGGACATTCTGGGTTGCAGCTTCACACACTCTCACTGCATCATCCAGGCTAATGCCCTCAGTCCACAGTCCACAGATGTAAACAATCTGATCTCGTGGCTGCAAACTGCCTTCCACACTGGCAGGAGAGCCAGGAACTATCTCTAGCACATAAATACCTTGTAATTTGCTTCCAGCTCCTCCTGTCAGCTTCAAGCCTAGAATAATGCACAGAAAGCATCTTTTGTGGCAGTGTGTTTCGAATCTCACTGTCAGTGACATACAGCCTAATAAAATAGATGTGGGTCATCGAAAGATAGGCTGAACAAACCACTGACATTATAAATAACAGTTTTGCCCTAGTGAGATGGGGTATAAGAGCTGTACTGGGAGAGTGAAATACAAATAAATGTTTAAAAAATATGGAAAAAAAAATTGTATCATCCATCTTTATGCTTTAGCTATTCCATAGTGCTTTATTTCACCTGATGTTTAAGAGTCATTTGAATAAGACGCTTAGCTGTATAGCAGTAACTCCCTCTTTACCAGAGTGTTTAAGTGCCTTGAAATCTTTAGAGTGCCGTGGGGAACAGAGGCATACAACAGCTAAGGAGGAAATTCAGTGCAAAACTGAATTGCACAACTATATTCAAGCAATCTCTGAACAAGCAAGTTTCTGAACTGAAAACAGGATGCTGTGTCTGAAGCACATATATCTATACTGTTTCTTGAGCCTACGGTTGTAACTGTGCACAGTAGTCACCACATTCTGCAGAAACACCAAGATATGCTATGGGGATTTCTTTTAGTACTTGTATTGCACAATGTAGATAAACCCTTATGTCTGTGGCAAACCGAGGATTTGAGTGGAGATTTTTTGAATAGCAAACTATTGCCCTAACCAGTGGCTCATCCTTCTCAAAACTTGCCTTTTATTTTTTCCCCCTAGAAATAGATCTTTATGTATCTCAGCAGGTAGTAGACATTATTATCTAAGTACCAACAACTTCTGTATATCAGTAACATAAAAATATGAGAGTGGAGATCTGCTAGAAACTTCATCTGATAGGGTGATAATACAAAGATCATTTTTTCCAACTTAATTGATCTAATAAGAGATATTAGTCTTCCTTTTAAGGCTTGGCCCAAAATAAACTCCTCATTCCTTGGTCATGGGTGATGGAGGAGAGCATAAAGGTGTCACGGTCACTCAGGATCATACTGGTCCAAGACCACAGTTGCTTATGATTATCTAACGGTTGCTGTAATCCCTGTCCAAAATAGCAATTATAGTATTTACTACACACCTAGCTGTCCATTGGCACCTTTTGTGAGAGTAATTAGAGGAATCTCATCTGGCCTAATAGAGGGATGCAGATCACTGTCAGCACGACCAACCACAAGGTGCAGATCAGGAGGAGAGCTTTGAAGTAAAGTCAGGGCTTCATTGCATGGCAAAGATGTGACATCAGTCCCATTCACCTAAATGACAAACCAGTAAAAGGATGTCATATATCTCATTGACCATCACATAATTTTCCTTCCACTCTGAATTTTGTATATGAACTTTCATGTTACAGCTTTGCTGTGGTATTTAATGTTAGTGAATGCAACAGTTAAGATTGCAGTAAGATTTCTTTTTTGAACTTTTAATTTTCTGAATTAAATTTCTGAATTAAAGCTTCCATTAAAATACCTCTTTTTTCCTTGAAACTCAAGGACTCTGAGCATAAAACAAGGAGGACAGTCTAACTGAAGATGAACCAGGATGAATCCAGGCTTTATTTGTACATTGAAAAGGACATAATTCTTGCATCCTTTGTATGTCACCTATGTTATTATATTAATTCAGTTTATGTCATTTAATTGGTAAGATATTTAATATCTTGTTTGTCCTGCATTGGTGCTAGATGATTCATGTTATTTGCCTGGTTGTGCAACCTATTCAGTCTGTAATTTGTCTTACTGAAGTTAGTGGAATTACACTTATTATATGACTCAGCTGTAGTTGCATACCTAAGTATGTGATAAACTGGACCCTATAAAAGGAATTCTGAAGCTAAATGATATTGATCTGCAAATACTTTCTCCACTGTATAAACTCAAAGAATTACTGTACCATAATAATTCTGTCTCCCCTTCTTAGTCTTCCATCTGACAGGGCAGGCTCATTCAAGATTTCATCAACATACAGGCAGGTGTCCACTTTGTTAAGAACTACAGAGAATCCATAACCATTGTTCTCTGACTTTGTCAAAGTTACAGAGATCTCCATTTCCTATTAAAATAAGCACAAGATATGTTTGATGTAGGCTTTTCTGTTGCTTCATTAATGTCCTTCATTGTGCAGATAAGAATCAGATACTCAGATGGTATAAATAAGAGCATATATAAGGGTTTCTCTGGTCTGTCACTGCCTTATTCCAGAATTAATTTTATTACTTTTTACCTAATGGAGCTTTGTGGTGATTGATTGATTGATTGATTGAGCCTCAGAAGACAGAGAATGACATTTGGAACTGGAATTATGGCATTTGAAATCAGTAAAGAAAGGCTTGGAGTCCTCTGAGCTCACAAGCATTACAATACTAGGGTGCAGAGATTATTGTTGTTATTGCTATTGCTGTCCCACTGAAGCAAATGACTGGAGATAAATTTTGTCCTCAGTGCTCTCAAAGTAGTAGGAATTCAGAGCTCATTAGTGTCATCAGGAATGCAAGATGTTCAGCATTTGGCAGGATTAAGTTTTATATTTTGAATAGTAATTAGCACAAGGATCATACTTTCTTATCAGGACATTACAGTAGTATCACTGTAACAAACTGATTTTCCACATGGGTTTAAAACACAACAGAAAATAAACCAAATAGCTGACTCTAATTAATTTTAAAGGCTACTAGAGGGCTTTTAGGCCTTTGTACACTGGGGATAATACTGCAGGATGCTGGAAAGTGGAAGAAATACTAGATGGCAAGAGCAAGGAGATGGCCTTAAGGCAATGGTGGAGAATTCTGGAGAGCTGGGCAGAGTGGAAAGTCTGCTTTACTTGAAGACTGTTGACCTTCAGGAAAGTAAAAAAAGCCATGCAGAAATAGCATGTATAATGAGTTAAAATTAATGTTTAAGAATGTTGCATTCTTAAAGTTGTTTCTTTTCCTTTATCATATTCTACCTGTTAATAATCTGGTGCGTATCACATACCCTAGTGCAGTCTTCCTTCTCTTCCTCTAGTTCCTCCAAGTCTTGCCATTCATTGTCATTGTCATGTGTCTCTCTAGCAGGCAGGGATGATGAGAAGGGACCACAAACACATGGTTGTGGAGTCACCATGGTTGTGGAGAGTGTCTCGGAGCTTCCTCCCAATGAAAGTGAGGTCACAGACGCTGAGCTGATAGTGAGATACTCTTCATCAATAGGGGCTAGACAGAGAGTTTCAGGCATACATTTTGTGTTTGATAGGTCATCGTCACTCTTATTAAACATGTGTCTGGGAAAAAAGGATAAATTGTTGCAGTAATGGGATTTTTCTCCATATGCTTTCTTAGAAAGCCACTGAAAAATCTGTTGCTTATACGTGAAATTATTTTAATTTTAACCGAAGTACTAGTTATCATATTAATTGCTGTCTGGATCCAGTGTTACTATAAAAATAAATAAGTAATCAATATTTTGCAAAGATAGTTAAAAGATCATAAAGCTTTCAGAATTTGAAAACAGCATTTGCAAATCTTGCACTCTGTTCTTTTAAGGCATTAATTAGTACTTTGGTTGCTTCTTGAAAAGAATAATTGAACAATACCTAGACCATTAATTATTTCATCTGCCAAAACCAACTTAACTTATCTGGTAAATGGTATGCACATTACAACATTACTACAATTTTCATATTTGTATTTTTCTTGAAAAAGAATGCCAGCCACTTTCCTGGCTCCTACAGGTCTTGCTTGGGTAACGAGAGCACAGACCAGAAACAGGAAATATAAAATGATTCCTGTCTCTCCAGAAAAAAATACAAGTCTTGCCTCCTCTTTGTAAGCTTGCTTTTATTCTTATGCTTGCTGTGAAGCATAAGAATTGTCCTACAGAAATCAATGGATTTTTTCAATTACTTGAACTAAAATTATTATTGACTCTGTTGGCGACATAGTGTTCGACACTTTTGATGTTCAAGTCTGGACTGTAATCATATGTGTTGTGTTTAATATTGTTTTGGCTGTTGTCATTGATGAACTCTAATAGATTGCTAGAGCATTGTCTCCCATTAAATTTACCATAAAAGCTAATAGAAATGCTTGAAATGCATCTTTTATAGAAGTATGTGTTTTCTTCATATCAATCTTTATTGAAACATTGCTAAAGCTCATTCATCTTAGAAACACTTAAAATGGCATATCTTTTATTAATGCTTCACATAGAAAAGATGCCATGTTATTTCATATATAACAGTCATCTAGGACCTTTTGCTCTCTGACAGAACTGAACTGTGTCTACCATCACCCAAGCAAACATACACAACTTAAAAGAACACAAAGTGCATGTCTTGTATGAAATCACAGACAATCCCCAGCGTTAAGCTCTTGTTTCAAAAGTTGTCTATAGTCAGAAGAAAAGTATAAAGCACAGTAGCAAACCAGGCATTTTGGTTGGATATAGCTAGTAACCTTCAACAGTATTTTTGAAATACTAATGAAAACAAGAAAAACTTGTGGGGTCATGCTGTATGCCCTTAGTGAGGAAAGCAGTCTAGTTCATTAGCTTATATCTGTGCAGGGAAGAAATGAGAAGCTGTCCATCTCCAGTAGCACAGCAAAGCTGAAAATGAAGCTGACACTTTGTTCTTTAATAGCTAAACAACAGATGCTTATTGTACTGTAGAAGACAACTAGAGTAATTAAAAGAAATGTTTAAGGATAACAGCAAATGCATTCTGCTCCTTTCTTTTGGAGACAGAAAAGAGTAAGTTCAATGGACATTTGTTGATGTTGGTGTCATAGAAGCTGTCACGGCTAGTGGTGTGCTGACTGACCTTCAGAGGGTGAAAGGATATGAAAAGTATTTGGCAGAGCTACACAAGCTCAAGGCAATGAGCAAGCAGTGGCTTAATGATAGCACAGCTTCTAGCCCATCTCTACTTCACCATGGGAAATAACCTGAGTCTCAGTCCTGCAGGCCCATATATGCGGTCCACTGACATGCTTGACTTTCTTTTGAAGTCTTGTGACCCCAGCACCTGAACTTCATAGAGGAAAACTATGGGTTAAAGTTTTACAAAGCAGCTTTTTTCAAAGGTTCTTGTTGGTATCAATGAGAAGAGTAAAAAGAATTTTCCGTGTGAAACCCTGAGAAGGGAATTTTTAAAATTAATCTCAGAAGATTTCTGCATTTGCATGAAAGGTTTTGGGTAATCTGAAGAAAATAAATTTCTTTACTAATCAGAAGGAATCCTTTCATTGATGCCTATTTCCTTCTGGGGTTTTTTGGTATGTTTTTAGCTGGAAGGATCATTTAAACTGAGATTATGTTTAAAATCTTGTTTAAAAACCATGCTGTCTTAAACTGTCCTGGATGACTTTTGAAAACACAAAGTCTGAAACTAAATGATACTGAGACTGTACAAACAAAACTATTTATTTCAGAACTTTCTTCTTAGGAAGAATCAAAAACTTTTATTGAAATTGAGATTTTCCCACAATAAACTTAGTTTTGTTGAAACTGTATCTCTTGGAAATTATGTTTGCTACACACATATTTCTGCTGGTTTTATTCTCAGCAGTAGAAAAGCATATACATAAGCAGGAGTTTCCCCCATGAATGTAAGTGAAGCTTTTCCTCTCAAGAGAGAGAAGCTAAAAGTATGAATTGCCATTATGGCTCCACCTGACTTGCAGTCAGTGCTGTGACTCCCCAGAGACTGGAATCTCTGACTGTCTGGTTCTGTTCTTGATGAATGTCAAGAGTAACAAAAGGATTTCAAGTGACTGTGTGGAAAAATAGAAATTAGTTTCTAGATAAAATTACTAAATTGTCTTTCCACCAATCCTTTCTGTTCTGATACTTTATATTCTTTTGCACTGGGAAAGATGATTAAAATGCAGTGGATTGTCTTCTGTGTGCCAGTGCCTGGTATATCCAAAAGAGTGTAAAAGGAGGCTGAGTGTGTTTGCACTGTATTTTATTGTATAATTCCTCTGGCTCAGGGCTTCTATTGGCTTATGAAGACTGGAAAATAACTTTTTTTTTTTTTCTTCATCACAGTTTGTCTTATGAGGGTTTTTTATTTTCTCTGAAGAAATTTTGAAATTAAAAGATCATACAATAAGAAAGAAATTTTTGGTGCCTATTTAAGTCAACTTTGAGAAAATTGAAATTAAAAGATCCTATAATAAATAAGAAAGTCTTTGCTTCCTATTTCAAGTCAACAAGAGTCTTTCCACTGATTTCAAACTTCAGCCAACTTCAGCTGAACAACATAAATGATTACAGTAGTGCAGCACACATACAGCTGTCTTGCAATGCAGACTGAGGCAAAATTCTGATGAGAGTAAATAGAGACAGCAGATTAGGATAGTCAGAGTAAGATGGTAAAACAAAATCTTCAATAATCAGCAGTGGTTAGAAGCAGATAGTCCTGTACTTAAGCAATTCACTTTCAAAATTCTAAATGCTAAAGAAAAGGCTGCAGAGCAGACTTCAGCATTCCCTACCTTTCGGTCCATCCAAACTCACATGGTGAGTAGCAGTTCTGCTTCATTTCTTCCTCTAGGGAGTGGAAGACTTCAGAACTGGCAGCTTCTTGATGAAACTTCTGAAGATGCTTATAGCAACTTTCCCTGGGAGTCATAAGTTTCTGTATGGGCTTTTCTTGAAACTCATCTGCCTGCTCTTTATCAGTTGAGCTCTTCTCTTCAGGAAGCTCACTGAAATCTTCCGACACTGGAGAATCCAGGCAGTCTTCCAGGTCTGGAGAGGTGATACTTTCATCACTTGTAGGTTGAACCATACAGTTTCCTAACTCTGTACTGCCTGGCATTTCTGCCACAAACTCCTTAACTGGAGATGGTGCTGGAGTCTATCAAAATAACAGAAAAGTTAGTTTAACTCCTCTTTTATTCCCACCTTCTTTCCTTTAAGAACGAAATAATTTGAAGAGGCAATATCAATAAGCATCTGGATGTGAAAAAAATCAAATAATAGCTGTAAGAGAGGGAAAAAATAGAGGGAGGTACTCTCTCACTAAATAACTGGTTTTGTCTTTATGCTTATCTTCCACATTCTTTAGAAGTGCCCGCCAGGGAACTACTATACAAGTTCTCTTTTCCCAATTAATTCTTTGCTAGAGGTGGCCCTTTTTTATTTCTCTTCATATCATGCCTCAACTTTGTGTCTATATTCTCTCCATTGTGTAGAAGTGGCTCCCACATTTGACTCCTGTGCAACTGACCATAGAAATCAGCCAAGGGCACATTGCAGGAGGGCAACAGGAGCCAGTTTGTTATCTGGAGGTGGTCCTGACAGTCATTTTTGTCTGCCCATAGACAGTTCTTATAAATCCTGATGGGACAGGAACCACAAGCCAGCCATTCTACATAGAGCAAGAATAATGCAAATGCTGTACTTGTGTATGTGTCCCTGAGTTGTGTTCAAGAAACAGAAATAATAATGCTAGCACACCTAACGGCACTGTTCTAGTCTCTGCAGTCTCTACTGGTTTTGTTTTGTTTTGTTTTGTTTTGTTTTGTTTTGTTTTGTTTTGTTTTGTTTTGTTTTGTTTTGTTTTTACCCTGCAGATTCTGCTGTCAATAAGAAGCTGAATAACCTGTTGAAACCATTACTTCATTTAGTTAAGTTTGTTAAGAGGTAGCTTGGATAGGAAAAGTTATCTTCCTCTTGCTTTTAGGAGTAATATAGCTGCTTCGATCTCAAAATTTACAATATCTGCAGTTAAGAATATCTGTGTTTTCTGCCTGAGGATCTAGCAGAGCATTTTTAGAAGCATCACTAGAAGATCTGCTTGGATATGTACTGTTTCACTCCAATAACAGTACTGCAATACAAAAATTGTTGGCCTGGGATAAACATGTTTCACACCTGCCAGGTTTCTATCATTTTGGTTTCTAAGGAAGAATCAGTTGAACTCTAGGGGTTGAGTTGAAGTCAGGAAAGGAAAGAAATGGAATAGAGGGCCTTGGAGAAAGGGGAATTTCACCTTGTTCAAGACTGGATAGAAAATATACTAGTATTTTTCCAGGTTTACAGAAGAAAGTTTACTGACAGAAGCTTTACCTTACCAGAGAACTCTGCTCTATTTCTGGAAGAACACCTTTTGGTGGTCTGCAAAGTAGTAGTGTGACTTCTGGAGGAGCTCCTCTCAACATGTGCAGGACATCCTAAGCAGGAAGAAGGAATATTAGATTTCTTATGGAACATACTCTATAGTATATATCATTTTACTAGCTGGGACGGAGACAATTTTTATTGTGAATGCCAGATTCCTAGTATTTGTGCCTCTCAGCAGTGTCTGGGAGCCAAAATTCACTACTGTATGATTGTCATATAAGTGAACCATAGTTTTTACGTTAATGTCTATCTAAAGTAACATCAGTTCTGTTTACAAACTTTTGTTCCACCAACAGACACATAGGTTTAAATTAATTCTTTTTATTTTCTTGATGAAAACAGGATTTTCAGACAAATTCATTCAAACTGCATGTGTCAGGGACACATCTTCAGTCAATTATATCAGCATAGCTCCACAGACTGCCATATTGACATAACCAAAGGTAGACTTTCTCAAAGACCTTCCTTGACACACCATCTATTCAGTGTCGTTCAGCTTTTAGCTATAGTGAAAGTATCCTTAATCTAGAGGGAAAAAAAACTTGCTGTAGGCCAAAACACCCTGTCTGACCCTCTGTACAAACTAAGTAAAAAGGCTGTATGTCAGAGAAAGACAGTGCTGGAAAAGGACAGGCTCCAGGTCAGAAAAAAAAAAAAAGGCAGTACAATTACAGTACACACACCCCTTGCCCAGGTGTCTAGGGCTTATCTTTTGCCCTAGCTATTTAATTATATGAATGACCTGACAGTGGGAAAATGCCATTATTTCATAATTTATGTTTGTGTCTTGTCTATTCAATGAAAATTCACACACAAACCAGGGATTTTTCATAAGGTGACAACATTCCAATGAAAAGAATAAACCAAATGTAGTCCTTTTTTCACCATTTAATTTCTTCATGTGAGTATAGAATTTGTTATTTCAGGTCAAAAATTTACTCTGGATTTACCTCACCTAGTAGAGATTTGAATCTGGGGCATGGTATTTAGCATGACATTACAAAGGACAAATAACCACAGGGAAAAAAATGTTCCAATTATGCATAACAGCAACAAAGATTCCAACTAATTAAGAGCTGGTATGCATCTAACAATAGACTTTGTGCATAAGTGTTGGAAATTTATAAATTAAATAGCAGAAGAAATTCTCTGTACGAATTCTGTTAGGAAGGAAATTCTCCATAAGATTTCTAGAGAAGATTCCTACACAGAAGTTGGATTCATTATATGCAAATTCTGACTCCTTGTGGTGATAATTAAGTTTAAATGCAGTCATCCCATTGTCTTTATTAACATGTTATCTATCTGGAGTCCCAGTGATAGAACTGCCTGGTACCTGATAAGAGAGTCCTTGAATAGGTTTCCCATTGACAGCTAAAATGATGTCTCCAACTTCAATTTCACCATTTTCTTCAGCTGGCTGCCCTGGAAACAGTCTTTTGATCCTGACAAGAGCTCCTTCAAGGTGTCTGGAAGCATCTCCTTCCATTTGCAGAAGACTAAAACCGAGGCCTCCAGAATTCTTTGTCAATTTGACTTCAAATGTATTATCTGTTCAAAGAAGGGATTGAAAAAAGGGTGGGAGCCATGGCATATGTACCCACTAAGGAGCTAATGTAAATTAAACCCTCAGCAGACCTTTTCTCTGTGTGCTCCATAGGTAGATATACTAATATCAAAAGGAGGGTTTGGTGTTCCCATAACTTATATGAGCCATTGAAATTGCACAGGCAGTATGGGAAGAACTGGATTCTATTCCACCATGTGTTCACAGAATACAAGCCCATAAAGGAAGAAGAAGCCTTTTGTACAGACATAAAAAGGTTAAAGTGCTATCCTTTTCTGACGTTCTTCTGTACATGTTGGGTCCTATTCTGTGGATGCCTGATGTTACTTTGGGTCCTGAACTAATCAGCATAAGCTAAACTCAGAGCTACTGGTCTTTCCAGACAAGAAGAAGGGACCAGCCCTTTATGAAATACCACACTTGCAGCTGAACCCCATTCTGCTAGGGACAACGTAGAGGAGTAACTGTCCCATGGGAAAGTATGGTTCAGATTTAGTGTTTATGAAACAGCCTTGCTGTAAAAGATACAGCGTTTATTTGTTGGCTAAATTCAGTTAAATTGATCTCTGAATCTTCTGCTTTTAAGAAATTAAGTGATAGCAGTCTCCAGTCCTGGTCCTGGGGCAGCAGTTCAACCTTGCTTCATCACTGACACAGAATCAGCAGTTGTGCTGCCACTGCTCTTTTTGGGTAAAAGGCTGGCAACATCAACACAGCTGCTTCCTGACAGGGATGTCCCTTGCCAGCCCCATCTCATGAAGGCTGAGAGATACAGTATTTATGCCTAGGATAAATTCAGCTATATCTAGCAATTCTAACTCTAAGTACAACAGAAATATTTTGTTCAGAATTGATTTTTGATAATGCCATTAATATTGCATGGTATATTTTTATTCAGTATGCAGTTTTCCTTCCAACCCACAGAACTTTCATAGAATTATTTTCATTCATTCCTTTCTTGCACATTGTTAGAAGTCACCCTGAGTTCCTTTTTTATCGCTCACCATCTGTCAAAAAGCAGTAGTCCTTGGTACCATCTGTGAAGGATGTTGCCACAGAAACAACTGCACATTGGTCCTCCTTTCTGTCATTAGCAGTCAGGCATGGCTCTGCCAGTTTGTAGTTTCCCCTTTCTAGAACCAGTTTGGCAATCTGAAACAATGATGAACAGGTTCCAGTTATACATTACACAGTGCTCCCTAAGTATTTTTACTTTACTTTTTAGGAGAATGGCGTTGAATGGGATGGAGGGAAGGTATTTTTGGCCCAGCTTTGCTACTGTGCTTCATACTAAGTGCAGTTTATTCTACTGTGTATCTTATTAAGCTCTGCTGTTGTACAAACCTGGCCAGATTTCTTAAGGTGTTCCACAGCCTGTTTGTGGGTGATGCCACATAGGCTGATGCCATCGACTTCCAGCAGACGATCACCTAAGGCAAGAGAAAACAAACAAGCAAGCAAACAAAAGGGTCAAGTTGCTTTGATGTTCAAGTTCAGTGGGCATAAACCTTGGGGCTACCCACTATGCAATAGATCTTCATGCTCACATGTGTCAAATTATGTTACTTTATATGAAAACAATACTGCTTGTTGTAGAACATTCTGTAGCTAGCACTTGAAACACACCAGGGTCTTCTGCAAGTAAATGCAGTGATCTGGTTATCATGGCAAAACTGAAAGTAGATGTCAGAGTCACTAGCCTGATGTGAAGTTACAGAGAGTAACAGTACAATGTTGGTACGAGGCTCCTGTTTTTCAGTGGGATATCTACATGTAGCACAGGGACAGGCTGAGGAATGATCCGCTGCATATTACATTTCACAGCTGTATGACCTCCAATCCCAGATGTGTTTCATTGTCCCTGTGGCAAACATTCCACACCAACATTGAGTTCTGCAGCCCAGAGTTTTATTGCCAGACATGTTACCTATCTTTATTTGTCCATCCTTATCTGCTGGTCCCCTGGGAATAATTGACTTCACGTATATCCCACCATGACGCACACTAGTGTTAATTCCACCCTGCAAAACATATGTCCACAGGTTAGAGTGAAGTCTTCACATGTCCTTCCTGTGATAAAAATCAAAGCAATTTACATATGCATTGCAAAGCAACTTTTTTTTTTTTTTTTTTTTTTTTTTTTTAAATATAGGAATTAAAGGAAAGAGGATTTTACTCCAAAGTCCCATCTAGTTGTAATATACTTCCCTCGGCAGTAATCTTGTTTTATTTTCTTAGGAAAATGCAATGCATTTCTATATGGCTATATAAAAACATTTACTAAATGGTCATAAATTTTTCCCTATGCTAATATAAAGATAGGGTTGCATCTTTCAGTCAATCTCTAGCCCAGCTTCCTAACTGCAATATCCATTCAATAATTATTAACCTTTCAAAAAATATATAAAGTATGGACCTGAACTTGTGAAGCCACTTGAGAGCCTACAGCTCATAGGAATTCCAGATTAACCTAAGAATGATCTACATCCACTGGCCAAATTCATATGAAAAAGAAAAAAGCAGGCCTCAATTTCTTCTGCGGGAAGTGAAATTGATGTTGTTTCCCATTCCCATTTCAGCAAGGACTGTAAAGACATCTGAGCCTGGAGGGGTAAATTCAACTTTGATAGCCAGGACAACAAATGATTTCTCAAATGCAGATAGTTTTCACTGCTGCCTTCTCTGTTCCTCTAAATACGTGGAGAACTGTACCTCCTTATATTAGAAAATAAATTGGCTAGGGCCCTTTCTTTAGCCTTCAGAGTAAGAAGCATGGCATATCTTGAGTCCACACAGCTAAACTTTCAGCCCCCAGCATGGAATGGCTTCTGTTATACTGCTTGTTGAGGCACAGACCAAAGCCATATTCCGGGGGCTGTCAAAAATTAAACAGTGTGTGTGGGCCACTGCTTGAGCCTATGACATGGTCCTGTGTAATGTGCTTGTACAGACGCAGCCTTTGAGTTCCAGGAGCAACAGGGGAGCAGCAAAAGTAGTCATGACTTGGAGAATTCTCTGCATCGCTGCATTTTCTAGAGGTTCTGGCTATATCCCTCCCTGATCAAACTCCACTTTCAGTGGTAGCTCTTCTACCATATCCTTTATATTGGCACAATTCTTTCACAGATTCTGCAGGGACTGGGGAATAAGCAGAGCCAGTACTTTATACTTTCTCTGTCAATCTGTTGGACGCTTAGGTTTGAAACGTGCCATGCTAACAGTTTTTCTGATTAGCCTATTTTCCATCTTTGTTCCACATAAATACACTTCCCTATGTGTTTCTTGGTCATGTAACAGTTTGACAGACACACTGAAAGATTAACAGTAACACTTGCAGTCACACTGATTCCAAAAGTCCCATCTTCTTTAACAAGCTCCACAGTATAGATTTCTTTTGAGTTGGCTTCAGATGGAGATGGTAAGTGCGAAGAATCAGCTTCCTGTCTCAAAAATACAAACACTAATGAGACTGCAGCATCTCAATAAAAAGAGGGGGGAAAGGAAGGGAAAAAAGATGGAGAGTGTTTCCAGAAGATATAAAGGGTTTGATCCTGCTTGTCACTGTAAGCCTGGAGTGGTATCATTTATATCCCTGACATTATTTCAAGCTTACACCAAAGTTACTCAAAATATAATCTGTCTAAATGTGCATAAAATGAGTATAAATAGGGAGGCTGTCTAATAGAAGGAAATTAGACACAAAATGATGCTGTTCTGTGTCTGGTTGAAAATTTAAGAGACTGCAAGAAAATAATATTTTTTACATCCACTGGAAAAGGGAGGAGAATTTTTAATAACATTTTGTGGAATGATTTCCTCACTTTTTCACAATATTCCAGACATGTCTATCGTTTTGACATTTCCAACATAATTTAACAGGCAACATCTTCCAATGTTTTCTTTCCCCTTTTCTCATTTTTTTTAAATTTCTCGGTTAGTTTCCATTCTTAATATAGCTGGCATGTTGTTAAAACTCATGCTGGGCATATTACTGAACAGCATCAGAATCTCTGTTACCTCCACATCCAGGTTATCAGCTGAAGGAACTGGAATCCTAGGGCCCAATTTTGGTGCTAAACTCCAGGAAAGAGCCTTCTCAAGTTCATCTATATTTATGTCCTGTTCTTTGGAGAGAGCTGTATGATAATCCTTAATGTTTTTTCTCCCACTGTCTACACAAGAGATTTCTGATTCACTAGTGCTGTTTCCTCTTGACAGACTCTTTTCTTCATTTAATCCTTCTTCATACATGTCTGTAAAGCCATACCAAAATAAACCATTGCTGAATGCAAACAGTAAACTTTAAGGCAAGTATTGTTATACCGCAGCACAGCAGGACAAAGTAACTTCCTACATCAACTGGTTATGAAGTCAGACCTACAAAATGAGTCTGTCATTGTAAAATGGAGCATGGCTATTATAATTGTGGAGAAATATGTTTGCTTCATCACTGCAGAGGACTATGACTATCTCTCAGAGGAAGAGATGCCAAAGTTCCCTTGGTATTCAGCAATGCAGTCCATAATAGATTTTTTCACACTGACTGTAGAACAGAGATCACATGATACCTACTAGAAGATGCCTATTTTCACTGCTAGCTTATGGTTATTATAACTGGCACTGGGTAGCAAGAAAGTACTACTACATCCCAGTGCCTAATAAATACCAATATCCTGAGTTAACTATTAGCATTCCACAGCCAGCAAAGGCATTTGCTGTTATACCTTTAGTTTGAGAGATGATGAGGTCCACTTCATCAGGAGAATTCTGTATGATTTTAACTGCAGTATTAAATGAAACACCCTCAAGACTAATATTATTCACAGAGATGAGTCGTCCTCCTTAAAAAAAGGGATAAAACCAAAACAAAGTACGTATAAATAAGGATATAAATCCAGAGTAGCTAACTTTAAACCATGAAGATATTTTAATTCCAATTAAAACTAAAGACAGTGACCTGGTTTGATATTTCCAGCTCTGTCTGCAGGTCCCCCAGGGATAATTGAAGCGATAAAGATACCGAGGTCTAATTTTCCTACATTTTCTCCTCCAATAATTACAAAACCTGCAAAAATGAGATAGCATGAGAATGCAGAGACACTGGCAGTATTAGAAAAGATGAACTGTAGGAGCACAAAAGTCTCTTACTCCAACGGCATAAGTTTTATACTTGGTCTGAAGAATGGGGAGCCCTGATTTACATGGCATCAAGGTCTTGATTTGGGAGAACTTTAAACTCATGTTATAATTAAAGCGTGCTGGTGACTTTGGTGGCTTTTTAAATATAATTTCTCAGTAAGAATATTTTTCTGGCTTGGAACCTTTAAAGATTCCAACTACTTACTTTTAAGAGTCATAAACTATATGGACTTTAGTATTTAACACCTGCAGGAGGAAAATTATATAAAAGCTCATTAAGTAAATTTGGATTTGTTCTACGTCATGTAGTCTAGGGCCCCTGAGATGGACCATATAAACTTCTACTGAATATGTAAGAGATATCTAAGAAAATTAAATCTACTGTCAAGTAGTTCAATTTTACTATCCTAGCTCAGAATATTCTGCTTTTGCAGAATATATTCTTCTCACTGGTAGAATAGTTGTGTTTGGGTATAGTTGTGTCAGGATATTCCACACAGACCTGCACCATTTAGAAACTTTAATTGTATTAATGATGTAATGATTTTTAATTGTATTAACGGTCAGCTGTGAAACCTGATAGACTTCCAAACTCATCCACAAGAACAGGATACAGTGTACAAAAATGTTATCCAAAAGTCAGGAAACATTCATGTTAACTTTGTGTACGCATTTTGCACCACCCCAGGTAATACCTGAAGATTTGTAAAACATCATCTCCTCCTGTGTAAGGTCTAAGATAAATAAAATCACTGCACATGTCTTTCAGATACAAAACTAGACCCTTGTTTTTTTCATTCTACTCTTAATACTTGGTCCCCTTGACCTTTGCAGCCTTAGTTAATCCTTGGAAAAAAAACTGTGGTCTTAATTTATGTGCTTCATCTTTTTCAGTCTTGGAAATTCTAAGTCCTTCACAAAGACTGGTAGTCTTATTCTGTAAGGATAAATGAGGTGAAGAAGGTTACAGTCTTGCCCAGCTTGAGTCAGCAACTATGTTAGCACCAGGATCTGATAGTCTGAGTTACAAGCATAACATTCATGTTCCTTACTTACCAAATCCATTCTTAGCATCACGTTTTAGGCTGACACAAATGATTTCTCTTTCTAGACCACTTAGCAAAACTTCCTTTTGGATGGCTGGTGATCCAGGTGCTGCAGAAACAAAACAGCTAGAATAAATGCAGATTAAATGCAGGGAGACAGTAGATTCATATAGTATGCAGAACTGGGGCTTTGAAAATTAAAAATATATTATCTCCTTGTTTTCAGGATTACCATTACTTCTAAATCAGTATAATTCAGAAAAGAAGCTCAAACAAGCATTTGGAAATTTACATTCTTTATAAGATTATATGTACAGTAGCTGTGTAAGCTCTTCCTATGCATTTATCTGCAACGTTTTTATTAAGATTAGGATAGAGTCAGGCATATAGACCCCATTGAACATGAGGATGGTTTGGACAGAAAGCATCCTGTGGGTTCCTTTGGAAACTCTAGCCTTCGGCTCTGTGAGCCCTTTTGGCTCTGTAGGTACAATCCAGTCAGCACTGATAGTGATGATGACTTACATAGTGTTAACTACTTAACACTGTGCAATTGCCTCAGTGTGTTTCAAGTTCAATTCTCATTTTAGAATGGACTACCCAAATAATCGTATCTTCATATTCCATAGATCTGTTCACTGTGTGCATACAATATGGCTTGTTAGAAAATTAGGTGCCCAGTTCTTACTCCATGTCTTACTCCATGTCTTACTTAGTGCCATGTAAATGCAAGAACAGTGGAAGGACCTGGAGCCTGTGTTGTCTCATGCATTATTCATTGAGTTGTAGGTCACAATTGCAAACCAGACAATGACCACTGAGCATAGGGATATTGCCCCATGTGAGAGACCTGGGTGTATGGATCTGAAGAGCTTTAGGCACCACTGATATAATAATTTTCTCAGAAAGTCCCTTACCACTGATCCTGATGGAAAGCAGGAGTGAAAAGAAGAAAACAGCTTGTCTTGGCAAACTCTGGGTTAATTCCCAGGACTAGAAGTGCAAAATTACATTCTTTAATCTGTACATAGAATATATTTTGGTCTTCTGCTATTGAAACAATAAATATGGAAGGGTACTGTCTCTCTTTATGATTACCGTACTCACCACTGATTGTGTTCTGAGTTGAATGGATAGAGAGGTAGTCATAACTCCTTTGCTTTCCATTCAAATTGAGGTGGATTTCTGACTGGGATAGACCTGATGCAGATCTGCATGGCAGGAAATGAAGACAGCGTTACAGAGCAGAGTTGGGAATGCACATGTTTATAGCCTTTCAATGAGTATTCTGATTTCTGGGCCACATTTCATTGTAGGGGAGAGGTAGTTTATCCTTGCCAGCATTTGCTTCCAAATAACAGCTCCCATTAGACCACTCACATCATGACCAATTTCCCCCTGTGTTTTTTCTCTGAGCTGAGTGCAGGCATCAGGAAAACACAGCATAACCTCAACATGATTCATTTAGCCCTGCTGTCCATTTAGACAAAACCACATCTGAAAGTTTTCCTGGGATTTCATGTTCTTCTTGGCTCTAACTCTTAGTATTCTAAAAGGCACTAGAATTCATCAAAGGCCTTGAGACTGTGTGCAGCTATAGTAACCACCTACACTTGTGAATGTACCAATGCAAATGAAAAGGGAGAAGTTCTTATGCTGTTCTCTGTGTTTTGAACCTTTAGACATGGAGGAATCAATTCGGTAAGACCTGCTCAAAAACCAGCTTCCACTGTGCATTCATTTCACATACTGCCATTTCCAGAGAAGATGCACAGACATTAAAGATTTTACTTTTATTCTACCTTATTTTTGTCCTTCTTCATAACCCAATAAGTGGTTTGCTTCTGAGTCTGGTACAAATTTAAATGTCACTCTTTTTCAAGTTCTTAGCTGTTAGAGTGTTAGCTTTCTGCTTGTGTTTGTACTACTGCTGGCACGATGGAGCCCCAGGCCTTTCAGTGTGACCACAATAAAGACTGAAAAAATAAAAGTCTGCTTCAGAGTTTACCATAAAGATTTGCAATTATGTAGTCTATGACTGAGTATTCTTACACATGTTTAGAGGAAAAAACATCCTACCTGCCAAGATTGATTTTGTTTCTAGTCCTGTTGTTGGTTTCCACACTGAGGTTATCACAAGATTTGCTCATCATCCCAACAGAAAGGTTTTCCAGGTTTGGTCCATAGAGCACATTCTCTGAACGAGACAGCCTCTGAATCAGGGCAAGGTGTTCATGCTGAGCTGCATATGCAGAATTTGATTTGTCTATTTCCACAAATTTACTTTCTTCTAAATAAGAAGGGAGAGAGAGGGAGGAAAGAAAGATAAATCCACTTATATTATTCCTTCGTTTTAAGCTCAAAGGTGCTTTCTGTCTTAACCTTTTGAACTTGCCAGCAAAAATGATTGACATCACAGGTATATTTGTTCTAGTATCCTGAGGATATTTAGGCCTTGGAGTGAGTGGAAAGGGTACCAAATCCATTTCTTTCATAGAAAGTATACACTGTATTTAGATTTCAATTCTATGAATTATACTGCAAATTCACTTTTCACAAAGACAGATGAAATATACAACCCTGTCTAATTTAAACTTGAATATCTCTATAAAGTATGTTTTGTAAGCATTCAGTGTATGAGATATATCTCTCTGTCAGAGGCTGAATTAGCCAGGTTGGTAGTTTCCCATCCTTCATGGGCCCACCACTCCAATATACATATATCTGAGAAGACAGGAACTCTACTAACACAGGATCTCTTAAATTCAGAGAGGGGCCAAGGAGCTGGCTGTTTGCTCTGAGTGATTTGGACAAGTGAAGTTGAATAGGAGACCATCTTGGTGGCAATGCTTGCTATTCAATTTTCCCCCTCTGTGTGAAATCTGCTACTTGCTTAATGACATCTGGCCTCTGCTATGTACAATTTTATCCTCTCAAAAGATTTTATTTCCCTGAAACAAGATAGTGCTGGAGGAGTCATTGTTAATTTCTTTAGGTTATCAACTGGTGGGCTGGAGAGGGGATTTGAAGGAGAGAGGGACAACAGGCAATTGAAGACACATCAGAAGGTAAAACAAGAACCCTGCTTGGTACAGGCTAGCACAAATGTGGGCTTTAATGCTGCTTGTACTAGACAGCTGACCTCCTGTTTTCCTAACAAATATTAGCCTGAATGCAACTTTCTAGAACACTACTCTGAAGCATTAAGCCTAGGCTCCCTCTTTCCTCAGTGACTTTGATCTGGGGCATCAGAAGGCTTAACTGTCCACAGTATTAGCACAATCTGAGTTGCCATAGTGATTTCAATGTAGGGAGTTGCTAGCAAGTTTTGAAGAGATAGTGACTTATACATCTGAACAGTGCAGCAGAAGTAAGAGTTTCCCTCATGCAGAAAGAGCCTTATAATCTCTTACAGCCTTACTGTGTGGCAAAGGCAGCATTTTAAACTAGTCTGTTGTTGCCTTCACAAAGCCTGTTTTTTCTGGGACAGCAAGCACACACCAAACCTCAGAACCTGCAGACACACAGTTTGTGTAAGTCTGGCTTGTTTCAGTGATTTGGGGTGCTTGTAATCAGGACTTGGGGTATATTTTTCTTAGGTCTCAAACTTTTTGTTCTCTTATATATGGAATGTAGTAATTTTTATTAAGGTATTTTACCACAATCAAATATGATACAGGAAGCTTTAAGATTCATTATTAGCACTCATTTGTATGCTACAAAACGCAGTCCCACTAAGTTATGTTTGAAGCTACAGGAGCCCAAGCAACAAAAGGTACCTTGAACCTAAACGTCATCCTAGCACTTTTTTCTGTGATAACAAATTTGTGCAGGTGAAATTTCGCTTTTCATGAAATAATTTTAGTGAGAAAGAAACAATATATCAATCATCCTGTTATATCCCCTGATATAATTTGTTGCCAACACTTTTTACAGCTTTACTAGAGAAAAAAAGTATCGCAGAAGATGACACTTGATTCTCCTGCTATGACTCACCAGGTCGAATACTCAATGATTGTACATGATCATGATTCTCTTCAAGGCAGTGGATGAGCTAGTGAAAACTCATGTTGCTGTACTCAAGTCAAGAGTGATGACAGTTTTCAGCCTAGGCTGTTATTTCTTATGTGCCTCAGTTTCCCCATAATGATCCTCACCCATCTTTACAGAGCATGCTGAGAACTGTGGGTGAGAAATGCTGTGTAACTGCCCTGGGTTGAGCAGAACCTTGTCTTAGAAACTATGAAAAATCTGAAGTCTAAGAAGGTATTCTTCCACAGACATGGCAGAATCTAAGGTAAGAGCAGATAGCAGCTGCATAGTTGGGTGGGTATGACTGATGTGCCTTTGGTTTAGTGCTTTTGTCCTGGAACTGAGCTGTAGGGTTGAACCCCTGTCTTACGCAAAGATAACCAGTTAACTAAATTCAGCTCCGGCATATCTGGGCAATACTATAGTTGTTCTTTGAGTGGAACATTTGGGGTAAGTCTGATATGTTTCTTCAGAATTTTCAGCAATTTTTCTGAAGGAAAGTGTAATCATGCTTTTTTTTACTAAAATATTAGTTTAGCTACATAGTTATTATAACCAGAGAACCCCTCTCCATCCCCTGCACCTGCCCACTCACATGCACATGCTAAATTAGACTTGCACACCTCTAACTTCCAGTGAAGTAGGAGACGTTATTTTCTAGTCTGAAAAGGAGAAACTGAAGCACAGTGAAGCTGATGTGGCATGTTCTGATTCTCAGCTTCACTGAATGCACCTTTTCTAAAACCTAACCTTGTCCTATGGCCTGAGTAATGAAAGTGCATTTATACCTCACCTGATGAAGTTTGCTGAAGTTGTCTAGAATTCATCTGTGCATTGAATTTGTGCTGGGCAGAGCAGAGGTCCAGTAGATATTTACATGTCTTTGCTGTATCAGTAACAAAGGTGTGTTTCTTGCCACTGAAGCTGCTTTCAATCATGAATTTTTTTCTCTAAAGGGAAAAAAAGCACAGCTTGCTTCATATGTATCAGTCATTACACTGAGCACTAAAAGTTCATTTGTATAATCTTGTTGCTTTGTCCAGTTGTATTTATGCCTGGCTTCATGTCTTTTGGGTGCAGTAAATGCCTATTATAAATTCAAGAGTTGTTAGTGAGGTGCCTGTCATAACTACCCTATGTCAAAAGTCAAGAGCCTTTGGACATTGACAGCATTGAGAGCAGATTGATAGAACTGGCAAAATTTGGCCCTACAGATGTTAAAATGAATAAACCTATTTAATGTGAAAATGAAAATATCTTCAAGGGGCAGAAGGGTCACTTTGGTAGAGCAAACAGACTGGGAAATGTGTGATACAGGTTCACACCTACACTGTATAATGGTAGATTGATATACCTCTGATGACACAATACCATTTAGAAGGAGTCACAGTCTTGTCATAATTACCAGGTTGTTAACAAACATCAATACACTAAGAGATGAGGGTGGAAATAATGAGATCTGGAAAGGGGGAGACATGATCCCATGACCTTATGTAGGTAGGAAAACAAAAGAAAAGAGAGAAGAGAGGCATGAATATGGAATATGCCATAAAGAGGTTTGACATAGTCTCTGTAATAGTCAACACCAGATTATTCAACTTTATAGTAATTTGACTCCATCCTTGGCAAAAATACTCCAGAACTATACCTTACTGAGAACTAGGTATCTTGGTATCCAGATCCATCCTTGATTTTAGACTGTTTTTAAAAGGGACTTGCCTTGAGTCTAATTCTGGATCTGAATGCAATAAATTTATCAAAGTGACAGCAGAAGGGGTGTAAAGTAGACTGAAGAGATTCACTTGGTTCTAACTCACATGAGCTGAAATTCTCTCTGTTTCACGCCACTGGAATCTTAAACTGGCAATTCTTGTGTGATTTTTAATCTCATACACAATAATGCCCTTGGCACAGATTCCCAGGATGATGTCCCCTCCTGCCCCTTTCTTCTCTTGCGACACATGATAGAATAACACTCCATATTCAGGAAGTTGCTGAGTCACCTGGTAGAGAAAAAGTGCATTTACCATGCATTACTCAAAAAAGAGGCATAGGAAGAAAAGGTAGGTAGATGGGAGGGGAAGTAGTTTCGAGTGTCTTTACTGAATATTCTTTCATTCTGTCAAGAAACCTTTGAAAACCCTAACCAAATTTTCATACCTGCTGCCTCACAGAGTCATCACCTTACTTTGGTATGTCATAGAGCTATTACATGCATTCATTTTCCATGTGTAAAATGGAAACACTTTCCCACACACCTCATTTGAAGAGTTAGGAGGATTATGTAGCTTCCTGCACAATAATCTAAACATTACAGTGGCATTGAGGTACTCAGCAGTACTGCTACTTGGCACTTGTGTGCATTCCTGAAGAGAAATCCATGCGGGCTTAATGGTGCTTGACTGCTGCTAAACCTTGTTTCTTTCCATTTTCTTTACTGTGTCTTTGTTTCCCTGAGAAAACCCAGAAGCCATAAGGTACAACAAATATGATGATCTTAGTAAAACTGCTAATACTTTGGTGCCAGGGCTACTCTGACGGGCTTGTGTGGTTTCCTTTCTACAATAGTGGAAATCTTAACTGCAGTGACATCACAGCTACCACCCTGCAACAAACTTACTCCGGTACCTACACCCATTCCTTCACGACTGCCATCTTTTAAAATTACTCTTTATAAATTTCCATTGCCAAGATCTTAAGTTATAGGATTTGCTAAATTGTACCTCAAAGTATCTCACCTAAATATAGTGATGACTTCTGAGGGAATTTCACTGCTCCAGAATTCCCTTCAGTGCAAGACCTTATAGTAACACATCTTCAGTGTCACTTCATTCTTGCACAGTGATCACTGTTGGGTGAAAAGTTAAGTAGGATATTACTTCAGGGGACTGAGGAGCCAGCTTCTGCCCCTGCCATCTAACTGTGCAGAGGATACTCTGAGGAACTCGCTCAGAGGTTTGGGTGTGGTTGGTTTCTATGTTCTTCGCTTGGCCACAAAATGTTAAACTGTGACTCAGACCCTTTACAGAATTATGGAATATGAGGAGGGGTTTCTGTCCTTTTTTGTCATCTGCAGATCAGTATGAGTTTATAATGTCAATGTAGAATCCCCAAATTACTTTTCAACGGTGAATAAAGTTTTTCAGTGACTAAAATAAAACATTTTAAGAAGATCTGTTTTTCAGAAAGTATCCAGAGCACAAATGTTCAAATCCTGAAAACTGGGGCATCTATAATCACTAGCTGAATCTGGGTTTTAATTTTTAATCCCTTTTGTATTTGGAATTTGCATCTTCTTGCCATGGGGCTATCTTTCTCACTTTGTGTGATGCGTTGGCTCCTTCTACAGTCTTACTGATTGAAACAGATACTAACAAAGCTACTTTTCTTCATTGGATTTGCCATGCATGATGGACTGTCATTAAGGCTAAGATTCAATCTATTGGTTCAATTCCACTGATAGTGTTAATGAGGAACTAACATAATTAAATAACAACTAAAATGATGCTATAAATAAAAGCACGTGGCACTGCAGCAAAATGGCTACTGATATTTATGCATGATCTAACCCTAATATTTTTCATTTGATGGAAAACAGAGAAAGGGGGGGGGGGGGGGGGGGAACAAATCCCACACAACTGTGACACCCTCGAGAAAGAGTCATGTGAGAAAATACTTCAGATAAATCCTTCCTGACTTCCAGGGTTCACAGATAGTTTTAAACATATTCCCATGTTTTATAATAACCTCTAATACATTCAGTAGGTGTATTTAGAATCATCTGGAACGCAGGCATGTTGGTAACATGCTGAAAATTTGCATCAACCCTCAAGAAGTTGAAAATACCTTGAAATGTGCATTAACCCTTTATAAACAGTGAAAGGAAACTTGCTGTGTAAATGTGATGTAAGTTATTTACAGTGGCAGTATTTACAGCAGAATTAAATTCTGAGGGTTTTTGTTGACTATTCAAATTTGTTCACCATATCTAAATTCCACTGTATCAGGCAAGAAGGAAATAACAGACAATGGTAAATAGAGAGGGGCTTTCTATGTCAAAATAAATAAATAATATTTGGGGTATGGCAAGTTACCTTCAAAAATTCTTGTTCAGCTTCATCCTCAAATAGGGAATGATTCATACGATGTAATTTAGCAAGCTCTCGCTGTACATATGCCAGGGTCATTTTCTCTATTCGGCTTGCTGGTACATAGTCTTCAACACGAAAATAGCTCTTTCCATGCATCTTTGGGAGAAAAAAAAAAAAAAATGAAAAAACAAAAGAGAGAGGAGACTTTTGTTCTTTCTTGACTTTTCTTATTTGGTCCATTTCCATTTTCAGGGTGATCCATATGCTGAAGTCACCGTGCTGCCATTTCCTAAAAGAAGATGGGGAACAGCAGGTACTGTCCTGACAGCCAAATGTGCCTCTTGCACCTGTGCTCCACCAGGCGCTCAAAGCACACACTTCTCTGAGCAGAGGGAGAAAAGAGCTGAGCCCACAGGCATGTTGCACTTAAGAGCTGACAGCTACAGCTGCATCAGTACATCAGACCCAGTGCTAGGATGCATCCGACCAGATGGATCAGAGAACTCAGAGTTCAATTAATAGGGCTACACTGATTTATATAACTGAAGATATAGCAGACAACATAAGTGGGTATTTTCTGTATACTTCAAAACTAGAATAACTAGTTCAGATATACCATCAGCAACCTTCCTGTATTTGCAGCTTGTCGATCTGACCTACACACAAACCAGCTGTGAATTCTGGAGTATTTATTTATTTTTCTTTCCATGTTTTCTAATCTTTTTAAGCCCCTCTGCACATCCAAGATGTGCCTATGTTGGAAATTTTCTACAGGTTTTCTAGAGTTTCTTGGCTGTGTTATCCATTATGAAGGACCAAGAATTTTTCATCATTCTGCCATATCTTCTGCCAAATTCATCTGGCTCATTACTGTTCCTTAATCAGGCAAATTTTGTAATTTTTAAAATTAAATCTGAAATGTGATCACTGAAGGATTTAGCTGAAATTATGTGCTATTCACATTTCTTCTTTAAACTCTATGTTTTAAAATAAAAGTTGCAAAAGCTGTTGAGAGAGACCTCTGAGAAACATTGTATTATTTATCCACACCTCAGAAGCAAAATTGCCAAGCTCTGCCTGTAAAGCCAAAGCGCCGAGTTTCAGGGCAGTCTCATCGTTGCAATATAATCGCTCCTCCAAAATATCTTTACGAAGCTGCAGGTAAAACTGATGTCTTGTCAAGTCGTGCCTGGAACACAAAAGAGTTTAGGAACACAGGAGGAGCCTTGAACAGTCACACTAAATGCTAGTGTTTTTCCTGCAGTCAGCTGAACCATGCACTTACTGGATAATGTTAAAGTGGTTGACAAAGAATTTTATCCTTAGAAAGAGTGTGAAATTAATGATGGAGGTTTTCTTCTTGGGTTGGTCATTCCAGCCATCTGGAGCCACTTTGTAGAGTTTGGTCTCCTCATCCAAAAAGAAGAATTCTTTACCTGAAATGAGAATTTTGGATTCTGTGGTAAGTCTGGAGATACTTCAGTAGCTCAAAGGTCTGCTCTCTTCCTTTAGTGCATCACTAACAATAAAAACAAAATGGATCATGGATGTCAGTTGAGATTTATTTCTCTGTGTCAGGGCTTAATTTATTGTTTCATTGATGAAAAACTTAAGATAACACTTAGTGTGTAATTTAGGATTACAATTGCTAGATTCTGGATTGGTGTAGTGTCTATGGATCACTCAAGAATTGATGGGGCTTGCATTCTGCTCACCATTCAGCTTTTGCACCCCATTGTAATCCTCATGTCCTACACACAAGATATGTTTCTTCCTAGTGCCTCAGCCCTGCTTGCCATCAGAAATAGGCTAGGGAGATGTGGGTCTTGTAGATTAAATAGTTGAACCTGTACTCCAAGTTATATCTAGGAACAAAGACAGTCAGCCTTCCTCAGTACACTGCTTCCTGGAATTTCTGCTGGAGCTACATGGCACAGTATTATTCCAGTGCAAGGCTGGGATGCAGCCTTTTCTGCATGGAATATCAGCCAGTAACAGTATGGGTGTGCTGATACACAGCCCTAGGGTAGACATGCTTTACATCAGTACAGTACAGTTTAAACCAATGTAACTTACCTTTCCTTAAGCTTTGGGTCTGCTTTCATCTGAGGATCTTAAAGGATCTTACTGTAATTCATTAATAAAGTGATTACAGAGGCATTGAGGGAGAGCACTGTTATGCAGTTAGCTGTGTCTCATTACCTTTCAGGTACGCCAAGCCAAAGTAGAAATGTTCCACCAAGTTTGCATATGCCACCACAGTGTTGAAAACATCTCTTGCCTTGGACTTGATGTCACATTGCACCTCAAGGCACTGCCCATTGAGTAGAATCACATTGAGATCCCTTTGGGACAAATAGGATTTCCCTTTTTTAGTCTAAGAACATGGAACAAAGAATGAAGAATGAATGCCAAGTAAAAGCAATGCAAGTTCCACAGCATTTTATTACTGAGGCCCCCTAGTCTCCCATCTCTACATAACCTGATGGAATTGGTCACAACATGATGCTATTCCCTGCATCCCTTTTCATAAATTAATATCCCAAACATTTCTAATTTTTAAAGAACACAGGGAATACCAACAAAGCAGCTGAGCATACTCAGACACTACAAACACCAGGGTTATTCTAGATTTGAGGGTAATTCCAAATTTTCTTTGCCCTCATTTTTACCACTGTATGCTGTCAGCCTTTTACCTTATCTTAATGAAAGGTAGAGGATGTGTCTGCAAACTGGACGAGTCCAGTACATTGGCACTACATGTCACACTGCGTATTTGCTGTATAATCTTTGTCTCAAAAGTCTTGTACTAAAGTGAGCATTCTTAGCTGAGAAGGATAAATTAACGTCAAAAGAAATAACTACATAGCACTGAGAATTAAATGACCTCCTTTCAAGTCTCAGTACCTCTGCAGGAACCCTAACTTTGTTTGGGAGGAAGACATGACAAGAATACTGGCTTGGGACTCAGATGCAACTTACAAAGAGCCCTAACTAAAAGGTCGCTAGATTAGTTCTAAATTCTTAATGTTCATACTTACCACAATTGATCCAGGCAGCTGTAAGGTCACTGGTGGTTCACTAGACAAAATAATAAATTCTGGACCTGAAAACTATAAGGAGGCAGTTTAGAAATTGTGATGTGTCCTTAATGTAATGAAGATCCCAAACACCAGTACCAATGAAACTCTTTCTGTTGATCTATATGCTGTAGTTAATTGACTTCAGTGTCTAATAAGGTGCAAATGCTGGTTGAAGACTTCTCTCTGTTTGGGGTCTCTCCTCTGTGGACTCTCTAGAGTCTAATTAGAAGTAAGCTCATGCTAAAACCTTTTCTGTAAAGGCACTTAACCAAGATCCATTTCCTTTGAAAGCCACCTATTTTCATTACAGTTACAGAAACTTAATTTCTTCTGAGACCTTTTCCCATTTGATTCCCAAGTTACTATGAGGACATTCACAGACATGTACACACATATACACACACCACTGATGGTGATTTTATAAGCCTAACTTCCATAGGGAACCAGACTAAAATGCAGAGCTGCTATCTTTCCTGTAATGAAGGTTGACTGATTATTTCTTATTAGCAGACATTGTATTCTTTTGCTTTATTCTTTTGCTTTAACTTCAACAAACTTAAACAGCACAAGATGCTTTTTTTCTGCTGAGCATCCACCTCAAGGAATTTTGCATATTGGGTTTTTGTCAGATTCATCTATGCTTTTAGATCCTTGAAGCAGACAGAAATAATTAAAAGTCTGTAAGTGGTAAGATGTGGATCCTTCCAACCATTCTCTGTGACTTAGTACCTTGATCCAATTTTTTGAGAAAATTTATGGTTTGTTTCATAATACTAGTATTGTCCTGTCAACAGATAATGTAGTTTTGTATCACATATAGAGAAGGACTAACACTTTGTTGTAACAGTTGCTGGACTCCTCCTGAAAAAATCAATTATTATCCAAGAAAAAATTGTAGTAGCAAAATTTAAAACTAATTTTATATATAAAAGGATAATTTTCCTAAGTATCTATCTGAAACTCCTAATCTGCCCCTGGTCAGTCTTGAGCTTGTGAACTGGGTCCAGATGAAAGGACTCACCAGCCTGAAACCTGTCCATTCTACTCCACAACAGAAAGCTCCAGGGACAGCAGAATTGTGGAGTTTTCTGTGATTCAGTTATTTCTGAATTTTTTGTGATCCAACTGCCAAAGAAATATTATCTTTCCCACTTATCAGAGTCCTACAACAAATCAGCAACTAGAAATAGACCCTTAGGTGAACTAATGGTTTGGCACACTCACTGCTAACCTATGCTTTCTGTCCATTGTAAGAAAAAATTAAGTCCTTTGGGCACTGGTGATCAGCAAGTGTTTGGGTTCAGTGTCTCTGTAAACATTTTTACTGTTCTGAAGTTCCTGTCAAAGTGGTTGATGAAAACAGTCCATATGGTGTCTGATGCTTGAAAAAATCACATGTGTAGGTCAGAGAGGGTTTGATTATAAGCTTTTGCTTAGTCTTTATGGACAAGAGCTTTCATTGCCTTCAGTTCTGAATTATCACAACTAGATCATGCCTAATTTGGAGTCTCTCAATTTAGAACACTCATCTGATTACATGACTCAGTAACTAAAATGCATTTCACTGGCAAACAACAACTGAATGAGAGGTTTCTCTTTAGTGATATTTAGATTTTGAAATCAGCTTATATTAGTCACCTTTTCCTTCCTGTGGAATAAACTTTTCTGTGATGCAGCAGCTGCTGTGTAGTCCTTTGTAGACACAGAGAAGGTGGAACCTAAACTTAGTAGGTTCTGTCTGCTGTTCTTCCGAGTTCCACCAGGATTTTCTTCTACAGCACTGATTGACCTTCAAAGGAAATGTCATAGTGAGCAATATATATAGCATGCAATCAAAACAACACAGGCTTGAGGACAATGAGCATAAGGTACACTGATGGGCAGTATACTATGAAATCCAGGGCAATGTCAGTTATAAATTGTTAAATATTTCTTTACAGAAAAATAAAAATAATTTAACATGGATAACATTACTGATGCCCTTTCTAAATAAACCTAAACTCTTCTTTAATTCAATAACAGTCTTTTTTAAATTTTCGTTTGGTGAGCCAGATCTAGCTGGTTTAAGTCTGGTGAAGCCAACAGACAAAGAATTTAGCTCCATGCCTTTCTGGGAATTCTATAGGATGAAGTGAATTCCTCATTTCTTATTTTCTGAAGCAAAAAAGCTTCAGAAAATCATAACATTTGTTTTTACATTATTTAGAACTTTCCAGGAATGGGAACTCAATTATTTGAATACTAATTCATTAGACTAAATGAATGTCTTAGGGAACTGAGAGAATTTTCAATTTAATTAAGAGAAAGATGTGTGAAAACTCAGATCAGAAAGCTGTCTTTACACTATACTTTTAACCTGTAGTGTAATGGCTTTTCCACATGAGCACACATGTGTATGCTTAGAATAAACTTAAGATATAATATATACACTTATCAATGAGGGAAAGATGATTATGTGGTGTATAAGGAAGGGTTTTGTTGCAGTGGATTTTTAACAAATGTCAAAGTCACATGAAAGCTTTTTTGCTGTCCCAAAGTTTTATCCTTTTCTTTTGCATGTTGCAGAGTTGCTTCAGGGAACTATTCAGGGAGTTTCAAAAGTTTTTTTAACAAAGTTACTGGAGTAGTTGCTGATCTCTTCTCCCTGGTATCCAGTGACAGGACTGGGGAATGGTTCAAAACTGTGTCAGGGGAGGTTCAGACTCGGTATTAGGAAACATTTCTTTACTGAGAGCATGGCTAAATACCAGAACAGGCTTCCTAGAGAGGTGGTCAAAGCCTGTCAGTGTTTAAGAGGCATTTAGACAATGCCGTTAACAACATGCTTTTAATTTTTTGTCAGCACTGTAGTCAGGCAGTTGGACTAGATGACTTGTTGCAGGTCTCTTCCAATTGAGCTATTCTATTCTATTCTATTCTATTCTATTCTATTCTATTCTATTCTATTCTATTCTATTCTATTCTATTCTATTCTATTCTATCCTATCCTATCCTATCCTATCCTATCCTATCCTATCCTATCCTATGCTATGCTATCCTAGTTTACATTCCTCTGTCTATAAAGATATCTAGATATTTTTGTTTCTATCAATGCAACCTCATAAAGATCAACATTTAACTAAGAAATATGCTTTAAAATGACCCAAAGTTACTTTTGTGGATATAAAAATACTGTTAGCTCAAACCCCAAGATGCTGTATTAAGACTTTATTTTCCTGTGGAAAACACTTCCTGTTGTTAGTCCTGCAAAGTGAGAGATGCCAAACTTAACAGCTGTGTCTTCTTTATATATAGGCCATAACCCTACATATACTTACAAGGTTAAATTTATGAGATGTAAATTATGTCAGTTGGACTGCTTACAGAAGTGATCATGGTGATACTAGTAAGCTTCATAGATAGTAAACCCATCACTAAGTTTTGTGTTGGTTGTCCTTCTATAATGGGAAACTGGTGGTTTCCAAACTAATTATTTCAACACCACTATTGACATGGTACTTACAATAGGATGGTGACCTTTGTAGAAATTCAATTACAGATGCTCACAGCCAAAAGTGAGGTTTACAGTCCGTGAAGTTCTATGGGAAACAACTTGCTGGAAATTTGGAGAAGAGAGTTCATCTTTCAGCAGAGGAGGGGAACATCTTGGCAGCGTGATTTAAGATCAAGGATATTGAGGTGACACCCAGGCTGGTAGTCAGACATATGGCAATTGCTCCAAAATACTCAGTAAGGAGATCTTCTGTTACTGATATCAGGTGTATGATGCATATATAGACATGTGTATACACACATATATATGTATGTGTGTGTAGTTAGACTGGTAGACAGACTTCTTTCTCCACAAAAGCTGCTGCTATCCTGCAACTTGCTTGTAGTTCTTTCTTATTGCAGATTTAGAGGTGTACTGGGGTAGCTCACATTGCTTAGATTCTCATGGCTGATTTATCAGGAAGTTCAAACTGTTTACTTGGGATACATTTAATTGTGAGTTGATCTAAATAGAACATTTCCTGTGGGCCTGAATTACTCATGTCATGGTTAAAAAGAAGAAACTCCTGTTTAATTGGGTCAAGAACTCAATTTAAATGCAGTATCTGTAGGGATTATATGGTGCTTAATTATGGGATTCTGGTCTCTGTGGTGCCTAAAGGCTAACAGTACTTACATCTCTTCTTCATTTGGAAACAGCCATGATTACAGCTGCACTTTGCTAACACCCAGTCTAGAAATCTCTTGTCTGGCAATAGTGGTGTTTCCTTGGCTTTTGAAAAGGAGCTAGTATCAGCTGTACAATTCTCATCTTTGCTAGTCTATGTCTACAGGGCTGATGTACGTGTCATGGCTGAAATGAGGCTAATCCTCATGACAGAGCAGAGGTCTTTACTGCTTGTGTTCCTGGGTTACCTATAAATCTTCAGTAAAGTGACAGTGCAGATCTGGATATGGCTGACACAAGTGAGACAAATCAGTCTAAAACCTGAGATGGAAGTGCAAATAATCCACTAAAAATTATGGATCATATAAATGGTCTGTCATAACCTCTCTGGAACACATCAAGCCTCTGCTAATGTGACAGCAAGGCAAGACCAGATCCAAAATCTGAATGTAGATAAATATGGACTCTGCAGAATGCCTTGCCAGTGAAAGCAATGACTGTTCATACCTTCTCAACAGGTTTTTCCCTTCCACACTCTCTGTAGAGCTGATTCCCAGTTGTTTCAGTCACAGCGAGCTATTGCTGCTTACCTGTCTGAGTCTGACGGAGACATGCTAGGGTCAGCTGTTCTGGGCGGCCAGTGACATCTGGCAGGACACAGTGGTAAAGAGTAAAAGTGGAAAACTTCAATGTGCTTGTTTTGTATGGATTGTTCAGGGCCCAAGCTCCATTTCTAGAGCATTTGGACTGTTTCACTTGGAGCCAAACCAAGTCTAAGTACACTTTATTTCTACATAAACAGTATCAATTACCAAAACAGTTTCAGATGGTGATCCAGGAATTTTCTGATAATGACATTGTCACAGTAGTTGTCTGCTTCATTTGGTAATAAAACAGCTTCCATCTTTTAGGAATATGAGTTTTGATTACCTGTTTATGAAGAGCTTGTAGCTACTTTGTGTCCTTGACCCACTAAGGGTGGGGTCCCATGACCTGTGTGTCTGTGGAACTCTCCCTGAAATGAATAAAGGAAATTTCACATTTGAAGCAATTATAGCAGCACTCAGCATCAGATCTTGGGATAATTACAACAAGGAGGAAATTTAAGCTGGCTACTTCCTCCCTTGTGTCCTTGCTTGGGCATGATAAATGGCACAATAAATTTGATAAGGCTAAGTGAATACTACACCAGCACTATTCCCAGTTCTCTAGTTATTGTTACTTCCTCTTCATAACGCTTCATGTGAATGTAATTTGGAAAACAGCTGTGTAGGTACAATGGCTGTTATTTCCGTATGTATGGGGGTAATTTGTAAAACAGCTTTTGCTCTTCAGAAATTACTTCTAGTATTGTTTGTTCTTCTATTTCCAGGCATAAAACTGAGGGGGAAAAGCCATGAAACCTCTCTGGCTTAATCAGACTAGGATATAAAATCAGTGAAATGAAAACTATTTGTAAATATTCCACTGGTTATTTCCTACATTAAATATATTGTAAATGTTTTTAGATCATAAGAATCTGGTGGGAATATAGGATGGTTTGTGAGTCATTAGCAAATAATATTTGTCTAATTTTTCACCTTCAGACATATCTGCTGCTACAGAAAGGATAGGCATGACTTTGTCTGGATACATGAAGGCTGAAATTTAGAGGTAGAACCAGAAATTATGCAAGTGGCAGTTCCATGAACATTTCTTCTAGCAGCAGACATGTTTTAAATCCTTTAGGGAAGGGTGGGAAAGTTAAATTTTTCTTCACTTGGTTCATTTCATTGATCTTATTTGAAGAATTTCAAAGCAAACTATTGCATAGGTGGAATGATAGACGTGGTAAGATGAGCTATGTGGAAGTAATCATTTAGGTCAGCTTTTTCTCCAGATAAAATACCCATGAACTACACCCTGAGACCTCACTCTGAATTCCAACATGAAAACATGACATTAAATTCCAGTGTACCAACCACCAATTGCAATTTTAAAAACTAGAAAATCTATAGTCACATTGCTAAAATATGCATAAACATGTTTTTCAAGCTGCAGATGTTAGTGACAAAACGTGAAATTTCAGATAAGCCAAATACTTAGGGCTAGGTACCAAAGTTAAGATTGAGTCCTGTGTTCTGAAACTACATGATTTTTCATGAGAAAGCCTTGCAAAATTCTCTGCTTAGACAATAGGTTTCACATAATTGTATAAATACAGTTTAACAAGCACATAAAATTGCCCTTTGTTTTTCTGTCTGTTGTTAGGGCAGTGGGACAAGTTGGCTAGTTTCAGTTGACTGGCCGCCATGCTTTGATCACAAACCCAACATGTTCCTGATGTTTAAGTAACATGTGGCCCTCAAAGAAGTAGATCCTGTAGATGATTAATTTATTATATGTTAAATGAGCTTCTAAAGTAGAACCTGGATAAGAGATATTGATCTCCCTTGATAATGGTACCCTACTAGATGGTAATATTTCTTTTCAGAAATGATTGCATTTTTATAATATATTATCTCATGAAAGAATGTCTTGGCTAACAAGATCTCACATTCCATGTTTTCTCCTACATTTTTAGAGTCTTACAAAATCCTGAGTACTAACAGCTACCACTGTTTTAATGAAGACTGAGACACAAATTCACTGGAAGGAGCCTTTGCCCAGTTTATGACCAAAATTTTCTTTAAAAGGACTTACAAAACAGGCTCCTGAGTTTACCTTCTTTATGTGCCACTAGATATGTGACTAACACCTATGTGCCACATAGGAAGTAGCTGAAATCTTGAGGTTTTATTGCTACTGATATTGATTGCAATTCTGGAGCTTCAGAAAAGTGCCTTTCAAGGAGGAGAGTATCAACAGCAGTTGTATGAGTGACCTCACCTTCCTCATCATTGGGGATATGGGATTGGGGCTGAGAGGCTATTACATTTCCCCCCC